TAAATTTTTTTTTCCTGGCTCGATCTCCTGAGGGCTGAAAAGGCTCCCAGGGCTGCTTGGCTGGGCAGGGGAGGGTTGGGAAGGGAGGGGAAGCACCCGGCCTCGCTCCATCCCCAGCGCTGAGCCCTCCAAACGAGCTCTTATTAGTTTGCTTGTTGTCGTTTGCCGGATCAATGGTCCATGGAGGAGTGATCGATGGAGGCCCAGCCTCCAGGATAACAGTGCCGGATGCCAGGCTCCACAGGGAGCCCCAGATCCCACCCAAGGTGCTCCTCACCACGGGGAACCCATCCAGGGGGATGGGGGATGTTTCCAGAACGGGCCCTGGCTTCTGCCTAAAACTGGGCAGAGGCTGTGCTTGTATCTCTGTGCCTGGGGACACTTGGGGACACCGAGCCCGGCCACCTCCCGTGCTGGGAAGGGGGGAGGGAGGGCAGGAGCACGGGCTGGCATCGATCAATTAATTAATTAATGGAGCATGTTGGAGGTGCGGCGGCAGAGCTGCTCTAATGAGGGGTGGAAAACGTGCAGGGCATCGGCGGGAGGGAGGGGAGCTGGTCACCTCTGCCCGTCCCCTGCCTGTCCCCTCTGCCCAGGGCGTGACAGGGTGTGTGACAGGGCCACGACAGCACGCGCTGGGCCTGGCCCCCTGCCCTCCATGCTGGGGCCGTGCCCGCTGCCTTCAGGCACGGAGGGAAGGGGGGCTGACAATGCGAGGCCATTAGCATCGCCAATCCATGCGGAGCAGCTGTTCCTGCTCGGAGCGTGCAGCTGGATGCGGCTCCGGAGCGGGAGCACAGGCGCTGAGAGACGGGGGGAAAGGCTCGGGGGGGACCTCATCACCCCAAATCCCTCGGGGAACCAGCAGCAATCGGCGTGGTGGAGCCTTCCAGAGGGTTTGGCCGAGTGGGCTCCGTCCCAGCTGCGGCGCTGCGGGGTGGGTGCGGACCCATCCCCGGGGAGGAGGAGGAGGAGGAGGATGCAGGATGCTCGTCTCTCCCCACTCCCTCGGCTTCCCGCCGCACTGGGTTTTTTTCCGCTCCATTTGCCAGGGGCTGGAGCTGCTGCCTGATCGTATTTGGTAATAAATTATTAGTTCCAGCACTTGGGAGCCCGGCAGCTCAAAATAGCTGCTGTAAGAGCGGGCGGCTGGTGCAGGTCGAGTTCAATGGCAATCTGCTCCCAAGGGCACTCCACGCTCATTAGAGGCCTTTCAAGGTGCTGGGAAGGGGGCAGTCGGGAGCCGAGGTGCTAAACCTGCCCACTTCCCCTTTCCCGACAGCCCTACCCCGTGCCCAGGGATTTCAGGGTGCTGGGAGCCCATCCCTGCCCCTCGCTGCCCGCTCCTGCCTGCCCGCAGCGGCTGCCAAGGGCTTTTATTTGTCTCCAGCCCCACCAGGCAGCCAGACTGGTTCTGCTCTCGCTGCCGGAGGAGGCTCCCGCTGCCAAAAAACCCGCCAGCATCATCAGGAGCAGATGGAGAGAACATGGCACGCTCCCAGCTCCCGGCTCCCAGCCCTGCGCCGGCGATGCGGGGGCTCGGGGGGGCTCCAGGAGTCGGGGCTGGGGGGTCCTGTGCCCTCTGAGGTGCCAGCCCTGCGGTGGGTGCCGTGTGTGGCGCTGCGGGGAGCGTGGCAGTGACCCTGCCGTTCCCGCTCCTCCTCCTCCTCCTCCTCCTCCTCCTCCTCCTGTGGCTGCTCCGCGGGCACGCAGCCAGCGGGCACCGGGAATGCCAGACACTCCCTGTGCTGCTGTGCCCGGGCACATGCCGTGGGAGGGCCGGGGACAGGGTGACACATCGCCAGCTCCTCAACCTCCCCCTGTGGCCTCAGCGGGGGACACAGGTGTCCCCAAGCCCCCCTGCCTTGGTGCGGGGGGGGTTTCAGGCATCCCTTTCCCAGGGAGGGGTGCATGGGAGTGCCAGCCTTGGAGCCACACAGGGTTGGGGACACTGCAGGGACAGCCTGTCCCGTTTTGGGGTTCCTCTCCCCGCCCTGGTGAGGCAACCGCTGCCATGACCCCGGGCTGCTCCAGGCACCAAACTTGACCTGTTTTTCTGCACGGATCTGCCTGCTGAGAGAAGCAGCCGGGGAGGGGCAGAGCTGGGGGGGGCCCCACCTCACCGTGGGGCGTCACAGCGTCCCCAGCCACCCGCAGGGGTGAGTGACACCCACGATGTGCTGGCAGTGGGATGCCGGAGGGATGGGGGGGATGCAGTGTGGCAGCCCCATCTCCCATCCCATCTCCCATCCCATCCCATCCCATCCCATCCCATCCCCGTGTGGATGCTCCCGCCCAGCCAGCTCCCCGTGCCTCAGTTTCCCCAGCTGGCAGCTGTCCCGCAGAGCAGCCCAGGGACGCCCGGACAGACGGACGCCAGCGCCGGCGGGGCACGGCGGGTGAGCGGCGCTGCTCGGGCCCCAGCCGGGGCGGAGGCGCCGATTTTATCACCGGCAGGGAGCGGCAGAACTGGTTTGGAGCGCGGCTGGGGCAGCGGCTCAGCTCAGCCCGGGGGCAGGAGAGCTCCCCGCACGCTGCCCCGGCCACTCGCTGCCCTGAGCCCGCCTGGCAAATCCCACTGGGATCAGGAGTTGGCCGGGAGGCGTTTGGGGATCAGCTGAGCATCACACGGGTGATGCCCTGCTTCAGCCCCGTGCCCGTGTGCCAGCCTGCTGATCCCTGCTGATGGCTGGAAAAGCGTCTCCAGGCCTGGATTGGGGCTGGAAGTGGGGGTTATGGTGGGAGTAATAGGTGGGGAGGAACTGGGGGGCATTGGGAAGTGTTTGGGGCAGTGCCTGGGGATGCAAGATTGTGCCTGGGGAATGCAGGATTGTGCCTGATGGATGTGGGGCAGTGCCTGGGGGGTGTAGGGCTGTGCCAAGGGGATGCCAGGCAGTGCCTGGGGATGCAGGATTGTGCCTGGGGATGCAGGATTGTGCCTGGGAGATGTGGGGCAGTGCCTGGAGGATGCAGGGCTGTGCCTGGTGGATGCCAGGCAGTGCCTGGGGAATGTGGGGCAGTGCCTGGTGGATGTGGGGCAGTGCCCAGTGGATATGGGGCAGTGCCCGGTGGATATGGGGCAGTGCCTGGTGGATATGGGGCAGTGCCCGGTGGATATGGGGCAGTGCTCAGTGGATGTGGGGCAGTGCCCGGTGGATGTGGGGCAGTGCTCAGGCGGTGCACGGGAGCTGCAGGCTGTGCCTGGAGTGCCGTGTCCCCTTTGGATGGTGCGTGGGCGCCTGGTGCTGCAGGCAGATCCCGGTTCCCCGCTCTGGGAGGGGGCACCGAGCCCCCAGCCGGGGCTGGAGCAGAGCCCGGGGGTGCCGGGGCCGGGCTGGCGTGGCGGGTTGGCTTCCCAGCTGTTCTGGTAATGAATTTACATGAGCCTGAGCGTGTCGACAAGGCGGCAGTCAATGGCTGAGAGCAGCGGAGTTAATAAATGCTTGTATAATGAGGGCAGAGGGGAGCGCGCCGCCGCGCCGGCCGCCTCTCCTGGGGCCGGGGGGCAAAGATTAATCAACGCTGAGTGCCCCCCGTGCCCCCCCGGCTCCCGAGGCGCCCCCCGCCCTCCCTGGCCATCCTGGAGCTGCCGCGGGATGCTCGGGGGATGCTCCATCCATCCACCCACCCTCTGCAGTGCACGGATGCTCCAGGTGCTCAATGCCTCCAGGCCCGCTGGGAGTTGGGGGCTGCCCCACGACCCCCCCCATCCTCCTGCCCACCTGGGAGCCGGGCTAATTTTAGGCTGGTGTTAATGAAGCTGCTGGGTGAAGTCTATTTTAAGGGCCCTGACATCAGCAGTTGCTGTTTTGGGAGGTGGAGAGCCCTGGAGCAATTGGTGTGACAGCTGGGGGGGCTCGGGGAGGGGCTGCACCCTCCTGCTCAGCACCTGAGCCTCACTTTTGGGGTCACTGTGCCCTTTAGGACCTTGGTGCTTTGGGGGGCAGTGGTGGGGATTTGGGGGGTGAGGATTTGAAGGGGCAATGTGGGGAGCTGGGGGTGCAGTGCTGGGGATTTAGGGATGCAATATTGGGGGTTTGGGGGGGTGCAGTGCTGGGGATCGAGGGATGCAATATTGGGGGTTTGGGGGGTGCAGTGCTGGGGATTTAAGGCTGCAGTTCTGGGGATCCAAGGATGTGTTATTGGGGATTTGAGGGTGCAGTGCTGAAGACCCAGGGATGAAGTATTGTTAATCCTGGGATGCAGCAGTGGGAATTTGGGGATGCAGTGCTGGGAATCCAAGGATGCAGTATTGAGGATTTAGGGGTGCAGTGGTGGGGATTTGAGTGTGCAGTGGCTGGGATTTGGGGTGCAATATTGAGGATTTAGGGGTGCAATGGTGGGGATTTGAGTGTGCAGTGCCTGGGATTTGGGGTGCAATATTGGGGATTTAGGGGTGCAATGGTGGGGATTTGAGTGTGCAGTGCCTGGGATTTGGGGTGCAATATTGAGGATTTAGGGGTGCAATGGTGGGGATTTGAGTGTGCAGTGGCTGGGATTTGGGCTGGGATTTAGGGGTGCAATGGTGGGGATTTGAGTGTGCAGTGCCTGGGATTTGGGGTGTAATATTGAGGATTTAGGGGTGCAGTGGTGGGGATTTGAGTGTGCAGTGCCTGGGATTTGGGGTGCAATATTGAGGATTTAGGGGTGCAATGGTGGGGATTTGAGTGTGCAGTGGCTGGATTTTAGGGTGCAGTAGTGGCAACAAGGGGTGCAGCAGTGGTGCTTTGGGTTTTGGCAGCACCATGCAAGTCAGGGGACTGCGCCTCTCCCCACCACCTGCATCAGGATGCTGAAGTCCCCCACAACACCCTGCAGAGCTCTGCTGAGCCCTCCTGCTCCATTATCCTGGGGACTGTGGAATGCTGGGACACACTTCCCCCCATTGCCTGAACTCGGGGTGCATTTTGGGCTGGGATGATGAACTAGAGGAAAGGAGCTGCTGGGGGAAACCGAGGAGCCCATCTCGCCGTGTCTAACCCGTTCTCTCTGGTTCGCAGGCATGAGCCATGAGCCGAAGTCGCCGTCGCTAGGAATGCTCTCCACGGCCACCCGCACCACGGCCACCGTGAGCCCCCTGACCCCGTCGCCCCTGAACGGCTCCATCGTCCCCAATGGCAGCCCCGCCGCCAGCAGCACTTTGTCCGTCCAGGCAGCACCTTCCTCCAGCTTCGCCGCCGCCCTCCGCAAGCTCGCCAAGCAGGCCGAGGAGCCCAGAGGTGGGGACAGCGACAGGGACAGGGACAGGGCGGTGACAAACGCTGCTGCCTCTCCAGCAGCTGGAGATGGTGTTTTCCTGCCGTTCCCCCCCGATGCCTTTTGCTGGCGTCGTGTCTCGAGGGGGCAGTTTGGGAATTGAGTTCATCCGGAGTGATCCGAGTGCTGTATTGCCCTGGGACCAGCCCTGTGCCCTCCCACCATGGTGGCTTTTTCCCCGAATTTGCTACTTCCCCAGCCAGATTTCCCAGCTGAACAGCCCCAGGAGTGCCCAGCCCATGTCACCCACATCCTCCATCACACCCCCCTCTCTCTGTCTGGATGTGGGATGTGAGATGCTTCTGGAGCACCCCAAGGTTCCCCCTGCCACAGGGAGCACGTTCCATGGGAATTGCCAGGGCTCCCACAGCCAGATGGGGAGGCAGCCAGTGCCCAGGCTGGGAATGTTTCAGGAGACTGCTGGTATCTCCCATTTGGGATGAAATAATCTCTTTCCCTGCTGTTTTCATTGGTGGGTGCTACCCTTGGATCACTGCCCACTGTCTGGGCACTTTGATCCCTTCGCAAGATGTTTTTTGCACCCAACCCCTTTGCAAGATGGTTTTTGCAAAGTCTTCTTGGAAGACCCTATTTAAAAGGCCCCTTTGGCACAATCCTTTTCCCAGGACCCCTTTTGCAGAGCTTTTTTTGGAAAATCCCTTTTGGAAGCACCATCTACAAGACCCTCCTTGCAGCCCAAAAATCTCTGGCACAGCCATGACCTGAAGCATCAGCTGCTCCCAAGGAAAAGTGTGGGGATTCCACACTTTTGTAACTCTGAGGGAGCCAGGTCTTGGTGGTGCTTCATCCTCACTGGAAGCTCCTGGTTTTTCCCAGCTGCTTCCTCTGGAACCCATCTGCTTCCTTTGGAGTGATTGATTATTGATTGAGTTTGGGGAATTATTTTGCTTTTTTTCCCCTTGCACCCCACAGCTTGTGCCCTCCCTGTGCTGCCCAGCCCATCCCAAGGGACATCAGCAGGTTTAGGCATGGATTTTGTGGCACTGGAGAGAAGCAGCCACATTCTCTTTGGATTTCCCCTTAACACCTGCATGGTTTGTTTGTTAAAACCCCTCCCTTGCCCATTTGGGTGCCTCATCCCAGAGGTTTTTGATCCATGTGGGTTTGGGTGTGTGTTGGGAAGGGGTTTTTTCTCCTTGCTGTGCTTTTTAGCACCAGGAAACGAATTGCTTTTCCCTGAGATCCTCACGCACTTCCCACAACGGGAGATGCTCCCTCCACCTCCCTTCCCAGCTCGGGCGATGCTCTGCTGTGGCAGATGCTGGATCCATGCAGGATCACTGGTTTTATTCCAGCTTTATGGGCTCACAGGTGTGCTGGCACATCCCTAGGGAGATCCCCTGCTGCTCCACAGCATCCCAAACCGTCAGGGCTCATCCCGACCAACCCCTTCCCAGCAGAGCCCCACAAAGCCACCGCCTGCCCGGGGGCTGCTGCCTCTTGTCCTGCCCGGGGCTGTCCGCAGGGTGGGTTTTATTCCACCCCTCCCTCCCTTCTCTGTTCCCAGTTCTCCGTCAGGGTCTCAGCTGTTAATTACATTTGCCTGTCAGCCCGGGCTGCTAATCTGCTATCGCCGAGCGGGGAAGCGGGAGGTCAGAAAACAAAGGTGACACCATCACACTGTGCCTCTTGTCATCTCCAATCCAGATTAGTTTCATTGACTAACTCCTGGCTGAATACCACCAGTTAATTATAACGATCACAAACCCTCCCGTTTAAAGCCACACAGCGAGAATTAAGGTTCTGAAGTAAGACTTTAGCTTCATTAATTGCCGGGCTCATTGTGATGGTATTGATTGTTAACGCTATCGCGTGGTGAGTAATGGCTTCCCAGCTCAGAGGGGATTAGGCTGCTAATTGTTGTTGGCCTTGCGCTGACAAGATAGACTTCAGTGGGTGTCAAATCGGCCTCCTTTGTCGGGGACAGCCTTTCTCCTTCCCCCAGCCTCGCTGCTCTTCAAATGAAAGCGTTTGGGAGCGACTCGGGAATCGTTAATCAGGGAGGGCGGCCGGCAGCGGGATGCTCCTCCTGGCCCCTGCTCTGCTGAGCATCCTTCCCACAGAGCATCCTTCTGGAGCATCCTTCCCACCATCCTGCCGCCCTCCTGCTGCCCGGGGATGCTCCTGCTTCCCCTGGCATTCCCAGCCCCTGGCTGCCTCCTGCTGTTGTGTGGCCTGAGGACAGGGCAAGGGGATGAGGGTGCGGGGTGAGGAGCTGCTGGCACGCTCTGGGAGTGGCTGCTGTGCCCACAGGACACACTCAGGGGAGTGGCCTTGCACACTGGGAAGGTGATGAGACACCTTGCACACTCAGGGGACACCTGCACACTCAGGGACACCCTGCACACTCAGGAGACTCCCTGCACACTCAGGGGATGCCCTGCACACTCAGGGACTCCCTGCACACTCAGGACACACCCTGAACACTCAGGACACACCCTGCACACTCAGGAGATGCCCTGCACACTCAGGGACACACCCTGCACACTCAGGGAATGCCCTGCACACTCAGGGACACCCTGCATGCTCAGGGGACACCTGCACACTCAGGACACGCCCTGCACACTCAGGGGATGCCCTGCACACTCAGGGACACACCCTGCACACTCAGGGACACACCCTACACACTCAGGAGATGCCCTGCACACTCAGGGGATGCCCTGCACACTCAGGGACACACCCTGCACACTCAGGGACACACCCTACACACTCAGGACACACCCTGCACACTCAGGGAGTGCCCTGCACACTCAGGGACACCCTGCACACTCAGGACACGCCCTGCACACTCAGGGGACAGCCTGCACACTCAGGGACACCCTGCACACTCAGGACACACCCTGCACACTCAGGGACACCCTGCACACTCAGGACACACCCTGCACACTCAGGGACACCCTGCACACTCAGGACACACCCTGCACACTCAGGGACACCCTGCACACTCAGGGACACACCCTGCACTCTCAGGGAATGCCCTGCACACCCAGGACACACCCTGCACACTCAGGCCTCTCTCCATGCCCTGCTCACTGCCTGGGAGCATCGCTGTCACCTCATCCTCTGAGCACATCCCACTCCTCACTCTCCAGCAGCTGATCCCTGCTGGAATCTCCCCCTGACCCAGACTGTGGGATGGAGGGAGCAGAGTTTGGGGTTCGGAGCCCCCCAGGCTGCCCAGATGGGTTTGAGGAATGGGAAGTGTTCCATGGAGCAGACACCAGGCTCCCCGTGCCCTGGTTAATGTGGAATTTGGATTTCTCTGCTTTTCCTGTTCTCCACCTTCACTCCATTTCTATTTTCCCTTTGGAAATAGGGCCAGCATCCCTGGGGTGGGGATAACTTAAAGTACAGATGTATTATGCAAATGAAACCAAAGCCTTGCCCAAGGGTTTCAGGGAGTCACTCCTTCATGCCAGTGTCTCCAGAGGCCCTGGCCTGTCCCTGACAGCTTCTGCAGCTGCCTTCAGGAGTCTCTGGGTCTGCCTTGGGAAGATGTGGCTGTCTGGGGCCGGCATCACATCGGTGTCACTTGTGCTCTGTGGCACTGGGGGGTTTGGGAGTCCCTGTTAGGTGGGAGCAAGAGGCTGCCCCATCCCACCTTTGGCACCACTGGGATCTTCTGGGATGGGAGGATGGGAGACTTCCTCCAGTCTGGGAGTCTGGCAGGATGCTGAGCACCCTGAGTGCATCCCAGTGCCCCAGCCCTACTGCCTGCAGTGAGAGCAGGGTTGCAATGCAGCTCCATCCACTCAGCCTCTGGGTTCTCTCTTGGTGTCCCTAAGGGTCTTGGTGTCATTGGTCCTCACTTCTTTTTGCTAGGACTTGCCCTTGTGGTCCTTGTGCCTCTTTCTCTCTCTCAGAGATGGGATTTTGGGGTCCACATCCAAGCCCAGTGTCTCATTTGAACATCCTGAAAGCTGAAACATTCCCAGCTGAACATCCCAACCCTGAAGGGTTCCAAGTGTCCGCAGATCCTCCAGCTCCTTCAGAGGGTGTCTCCATCCACTTAAACTCCCTTTCTCCTGACTTCCTTCGATCTCTGCTTTAATTCCAGGCTCTTCACTGAGCAGCGAGTCGTCCCCGGTGTCCTCTCCAGCCACCAACCACAGCTCCCCGGCCAGCACCCCCAAGCGTGGCCCCATGGGCCCCATCATTGTCCCCCCGGGGGGGCACAGCGTGCCCAGCACGCCGCCCGTCGTCACCATCGCCCCCACCAAGACGGTCAACGGCGTCTGGAGGAGCGAGGGCAGACAGGTATGGCTGGGTTTGGGGGCTGCCCGGCCCCCCTGAAGGATGGAGGCTATGGGATGTCATGTATGTGCTGCCCACATTTGGTCCCCTCCCCTCCCTGCTGTGTCCCCGAGCTGGCGCCGTGTGTCCCCCGTTGTTGTCACCGGGGCTGCCATCCGGAGGGGAGGGCAAGGAAGGAGGAGGAGGAGGAGGGAGGGAGGGAGGGAGGGGGGGAGAGCAGCTAATTAAGAAGCATCGTTAGTGGTTCTCCTCTCCTCCGCATGCTACAAGCAGATTCCCGGGGGGATTATGCCACTTGGAAAGACTAATTAAACCACAAAGAGAGGCGAGGGTAGGGGATGAGAAACGCCGCGGGCGAGAGGGGGGAGATAAATGGAACTGGGATCCCCGGGAGCTCAGAGGGGTGTGTGGGGTGTCAGGGTGCTCCCCAGCCCCGTGTCCCCCCCGGTGTGGGGGTTAACCCAGCGTGGGGATGTCTGGCAGAGTGTGGCACCCCAGCTGGGAGGGAATTAGAGCAGAGCCTGGCACGCACGATGGGGGACACCTCACCCTTTGTGGTGACCTTGGGGCTGGCCCTGCCCTGGAGGGATGGGATGGGATGGGATGGGATGGGGTGGGGAGGGATGCATGGGGTGGGGGATGCTGTGGGTGCCACCATCCTCCACCTCTGAGCTGCTGAATGGAGAAGGTGCGATGAAAAATCACAATTTTTAAACCAAAACTTGTCTTGCTGGTGGGGTCGCCCCACTAATTGTCAGATCCCGTGGGGTCTCTTGTCACCCCAGGTTGTTCCCCCTTGCTGGAGGGAGTGACCTTCATGCTGACACCAGGGTGGAGGCTGATGGAAAGCAGCTGAGGCCCTGTGGGAGGGTGCTGCTGCCGGGGGGATTGTGGGCTGACCCCTGGGTTATGGCCCTTATCAAAGGCCGGCTGGATTTCCCCTGGCTGTGTCACTCCTCCCCGGGTGATTAATAGCTCAGGAGAACAAAGCAGCCATAAATCTCCAGGCAGGTAATGGGTGTCTTGCCCTGAGCTCTGCCCCGGCTTCGGCACCTCCTTTCCCACCGGGGCCCCCCAGTGCAGCCTCCCAGACCCTCCCACCCCTCCAGCTGCCCTTCCAAAGCCTGGACACGGGAGATGCCCTGGTGGATGAATCCTTCCCTGGGTGCTGGTGCCAGCCAGGGCACGCTGGGGACCTCCTGAGGGTCTTGGGGTGGTGACCCAGCAGTGATTCCCCATCCCCTGCTGTCCCTAATGCCCATCTTGGCCTTGCAGCAGGAAGCAGGGTCACGAGGCAGCAGCAGCAGCGCCGGCCGCGAGCGCCTCATCTCGGAGCCCCCCCTGACCCAGGAGAAGGCCGGAGGTCCCACTGTCCCCTCCCACCTCCTGGGGACACCCTACTCCTTCGGGCTGCCCCCCAGCTCCGTGGTCCAGGACTCCCGCTTCCCTCCTCTCAAGTGAGTCTGCTCGGGACAGAGACGCAGGGCAAGGGTGTCCCCTGCGAGCTCTGCTCCCACCTGGGGGAGGTGACATCTCCCCAGGGGGACAGGGAGGGATGGTGACCATGTCCTTGCCCCCCAGCCTGCAGCGGCCCGTGCACCACGTGGTGCCTCCCAGTGCCGTGACCGAGGATTACCTGCGGAGCTTCCGTCCCTACCACACGGCCGAGGATCTCCGCATGTCCTCCCTGCCGCCCCTCGGCCTCGACCCCGCCACTGCTGCCGCCTACTACCACCCCAGCTACCTGACACACCACCCCTTCCCTCATCCTGCCTTCAGGTGGGCCTCGGGATCCCTGGGAGATACCTCTGGATGAGCTGAGCTTTGGGCTATTGGGAGGTGGGAGCACTGAGGGCATTTTGGGGCTCCCCGTCCCTTTCTCCCAGTAGGAGCAGCGGTTTCTAGGTGGGTTTGGGGCACTGCCAAGTCCTTAGAGTTTTAAGCACTGGTGCTCGTAGTTCTCGGGCAGATGCTTTAGTAGGGGTAAGCATCAAGATTTAGGGCCAGACATAGTGGGGTATCTAATCCCAGTTTGGGCCCTGGCTTTCTTGGTGTTTAATTAATCATTGTTCTAAGATCTCCTTTGATGGGGAGGCCTTATTGGCCCATCTGGCTCCTGGGAGGGGAACTGGGGGGTTCTTTGCCTGTCTGAGCATCCCTGTCTCCCCAGGATGGATGAGTCGTACTGCCTTTCAGCACTGAGGTCCCCCTTCTACCCGCTGCCAGCGCCGGGCTCGCTGCCCCCCCTGCACCCCTCGGCCATGCACCTGCACCTCTCGGGGGTCCGGTACCCCCCCGAGCTCTCCCACTCCTCCCTCTCTGCCCTGCAGTCCGAGCGCATCTCCAGCCTCGCTGCCGAGAGGTACGGGATGGTGAGGGGATGATGGGGAGCTCCAAGGGATGATGATGATGGGGGGATGATGGGAAGCTCCAAAGGATGATGATGATGAGGGGATGGATGAGGAGCTCCAAAGGATGATGATGGTGAGGGGATGATGGGGAGCTCCAGAGGATGCTGATGCTGGGGGGATGGATGGGGAGCTCCAGAGGATGCTGACAGAGGACCAGGGGTGGTTTTGGGGTGCTCTAGGAGTGCTGGCAGATGCCTTAGGGATTTGGGAGTGCTGCAGAGGGTGCTGGCAGGTGCGCAGGCATTGTTTGGGGGTGCTCTGGAGGTTCAAGGGTGTTCCAGGGGATGCTGGCAGGCACCCAGGGTTGATTTTAGGGGTGCTCCAAGGGGGATGTTTGGGGTTGGTGCTTTTGTTTTTGGTTTCTCTCTGCAGGCTGCAGATGGACGAGGAGCTGAGGCAGAGGGAGCGGGAGCGGGAGAAGGAGCGGGAGCGAGAAGCCGACCGGGAGCGGGAGAAGGAGCGGGAACGGGAGCGGGAGCGCGAGAAGGAGCTGGAGCGGGAACGGGAGAAGGAGCGGGAGCGGGAGCTGGAGAGGCAGCGGGAGCGTGCCCGGGAGAAGGAGCTGAGCATGGTGAAAGCCATGGAGGGGCCCTTCCTCCCCGTGGCCGAGCTGCACGGGCTGCGGGGGCACCCGGCCGAGGAGCGGGGCAAGCCGGTGGAGCCGCTGGCGCCCAGCAGAGCAGGTAACGCCCGCCTTCCAGAGCTTGCCTTGGTTCCTTGTCCCCTCCAGATGGCAAAGCTGAGGGGGTCGGTGGCCCCGGGAGGTGGCTGGGGACGGGGATGGGCTGTCCTGGCTGCCAGATTGCTTTGCCAGGAGCCCAGCTGCGGCAGCAGTGCCTGTGCCATCTGACTCGGGCTGGCCTGGCACCGTGCCCAGTGCGTGCCCAGCAGCTGGGCTGGCAGCAGCGAGTGGGCAGCCCCCTGAGCTGAGCTCTGACCAGAGGCTGCCCCACAGCTCCAGGTCCCTGCTCACCCCAAAATCCCCCTCTCTGTTCCACACCCTGACTCTCCGTCACCCTTTTTCCACCGCAGACAAGCTCAAGGACTCGGTGCTGCCCACGCCAAAGCCCATCCAGCACCCTCTGCACCCTCCACCGGGCTCCCACCACCCCGTGCCCAGCCTCATCCCCAACCACAGCGTGTTCCCCCTGCCCGGGAGCAGCGCGGCCACGGCGCTGCTCATCCAGCGCACCAACGAGGAGGAGAAGTGGCTGGCCCGGCAGCGCCGGCTGCGCCAGGAGAAGGAGGATCGGCAATCCCAGGTGTCAGAATTCCGGCAGCAAGTGCTGGAGCAGCACCTGGACATAGGACGTGCCCCCAGCCAGGCTGAGCCCGAGCACCGGCCCGAGCACCCCAGGTAGGGATGGGATGCTGCCAGCCCCGCTCCAGGGATGGAGATTTCCCCCAAAACTGAGCTGTGTTTTCCTGTGTCACTGCTGTCCTTGCTGGAATATCTGTATCTTAAGCTGGAGAGGGACTTTGGACAAGGGAAAGGAGTCATAGGACAGGGGGAATGTGTTTATATAGAAAGAGGGCAGGGTTATATGGGATATTGGGAAGACATTCTTCCCTGTGAGGGTGGGAAAGCCCTGGCACAGGGCACCCAGAGAAGCTGTGGCTGCCTCATCCCTGAAAGTGTCCAGTGCCAGGTTGGACAGGGCTTTGAGCAATCTGGTCTTGTGGAAGGTGTCCCTGTCCATGGCAGGGGCTGGAATAGGATGATCTTTAAGGTCCCTTTGCCCCACACCATTCCATGATGCCATGATATGACGATTTATAGGATTTTCCCCCCAACCTGTGGCTGTGCCCACCCCGTTACCCACTCTGCCCCCCATCAGGCATCCACCACCCCTCGGCCGTGCCCCTCACACATCCCATGAGCCAAAGCCACAGTTCCTGGCTGGTGCCAGCGGGTTCCTGCCACACGGTGCCAGCCAGGCCGGCTGTGCTGGCAGCACCAGGCGTTCCTGGTGCCCGACATCTGCGCAGCGGCAGGCGCCGAGCCCGGGAGGTGGCCGGGGGCCAGCGGCGAGTGGCCAGGTGCTGCCCAGCCCCAGCCCCACTAATTGCAGCTCCCCCCTCCCAGGCAGTGGGGCTGGGCTGTGGGTGCCTCGTTTGGGGGGCGCCTGCGCCAAGCCTGGGCAGTTTGGGGGGCAGCAGAGCATGCCCACAGCCCCGGATTGATTGACAGGGCCTCGCTCGCCCCCGTGGCTGAGCACTTAAGCGGTGCAGGCTCATCCAGCCAGCTCTGCCGCCTGCTCCCTTTGTTATTTTTGGGTATCCAGGGGATTAGCGCAGCTCATCGAGGATAATAAGGAGCGGATCTCGGGGCGGCACAAAGGCGAGCGCCCGCCGCGGGCTCCCTTCCCCATCCGCTCCTCCCACCCCAGAGCGGAGAGGAGACAGCAAGGTCACCCCCAGACACCTGCAGCTGGGGATATTCCATCCCCATCCTTTTCCTGCATCCAGTGGGGCAGCAGAGGGATGGGTCCCGGGGGTGCTCCCCGCCGGCGGTGACTCCACGGCGGCGCTGGGCTGAACTCGCTGCTCTGTGCGCGGAGCTCTGGGGCACTGGAGCGGAAAAGTGTTAAATGCACAGCTTGGGCACATGAAATATTTATCCTGCAAACGGGCTGGCTCCGGCTCCTGCTGTCAGAGGAGGGCTGTGCCGGGGTGCTGCCCTCGCCACGGGGCTGTGGCAGGACTGGTGGCTCGCTTGTCCCCACGCAGGGGTCAAGGCTGGGGTCTCCAGCCCTGTGCTCCTGGGATGCAGCCACATCCATGCTCAACCCGCTCATGCAGAGCCTTAACTCTGCCCCCATCCCTCAGGTTTGTGGCATGGAGGGGACAAGTGAGGCAGCCCCACGTGCACAAACCCCTTTGGGTGTTCCTAAGAGCCGTGTTTCTCCCCAAAATCCCCCGGGGCTGGAGCGCTGCCAGCTCTCCAGTGGCAGTGCCAGCTCCTCACCGCTCCGGTGCTCTCCTCTCCCCACAGGTTGGGATCGAGCCGCCACGAGCCGAGCAGCCGGGAGCCAGGGCAGCACTTTGGCGGGCCCCCACCCCTCATCTCCCCCAAGCCCCAGCACCACCCCGTCACCACGTCCCTCTGGAACCCTGTCTCGCTGATGGAGAGCCCCCCCGACCCTCCCCGGCGCCTCCCCGAGCCCCACGGCCTCCACAGCCACCCAGCGCCCTTCGAGCCCGGCCGCCAGGGCATCCCTCTGGTGAAGGTGGAGAGGGTCTTCTGCCCGGAGAAGCTGGAGGAGGGCCCGAGGAAGAGGGATGCTCTGGAGAAATACCCCCCGGGACGGGAGCCCGGCGCCCCGGAGCACGGGACCTTCACCCACACCCCCTTCCTAGCTGAGCTGGAAAAGTCCACTCAGAGCATCCTGAGCCAGCAGAGAGCCCCGGCCACCCCGTTCCCCGAGGCCACCAAGCCCAGCTCGCCCTACAGGCCCCCCCAGCCCCGCGCCCAGGACCCCATGTACATCTACGACGAGTTCGTGCAGCAGCACCGCAGGCTGGTCAGCAAACTGGACCTGGAGGAGCGCCGGCGGCGGGAGGCCCGTGAGAAAGGTGAGGGACCAGGGATGTCCCCCCTGGCACCGGGGGTCTCCCGGGGGTCTCCCGGGGATGCCGACGTTCCCGCATCCGCGCGCTTCGGTAAAGCCTGCGCTGCAGACGTGCCCGATGAATAAATGATGAACTGGAGCTAATAAGAGGGTTTTAAATATTGATGGGGCTGATGGAGTGGGGATGAGAACAGCGGCGAGGAGGAGACAGAGAGCTGGGAGGGGCTGGAGTTGCTGTCCCTACTCCAGTGGGATGGGGGCTCTGCCACAGTGTCCCCAGCCTGTGCCCCGTTGACTCCCTGCCACCCTTCCCAGAGTGATGCCAAGAGGATACACAGGGATGGGTGATGCCCTCCGAGGTGCCACAGCTGGAGGAGGGAGGACAGGGCTCCATCCCCTACATCACTCCTCTCTGACGTCCTACCCTGCTGCACCCCCATCCCCACTGGGGTTCCCTGGGGTCCCAGCAGGTCCCCAAGGTATTCCCAGCCTCACACCAGCCTCTCCCCATCCCCAGGGTACTACTATGACCTGGATGACTCCTGTGATGACAGCGACGAGGAGGAGGTGCGGGCCCATCTCCGCTGCGTGGCTGAGCAGCCCCCACTGAAGCTGGACACGTCCTCTGAGGTACTGGTGGCACCCCTGTCCCCTCCCTGTCCCCTGGGGGAGCAGCCCTACCTTGGCACCAGTTCCCAGTGCCCAGTGCTGCCACCATCCCCACGTGTGCAGAAGCACCAGGGGGTTAGAGATGGGGATGATGAGGATGGTGGTGGAGATGGGGATGGGAATGGGGATGACAGTAAGGATGGGCATTGGAATGGGAATGGGGTTGGAATGAGGATGAGGATGAGGATGAGGATGGGGATAGGAATGGGAATGAAAATGAGGATGAGGGCAATGGACATGAGGATGGAGATGGGGAATGGAGATGGAAATGGAGATGGGGGTTGCAACAGGCATGAGGGTGGGCATGAGAATGGGAATAGGACTGAAGATGAGGATGGCAGTGGGCATGGTGATGAGAATGGGGATGAAGGTGAGGATGGGGGCTGACCCTGCTGTGCTCTGCCCCTGCTCGCCCCAGAAGCTGGAGTTCCTGCAGCTCTTCGGGCTCACCACACAGCAGCAGAAGGAGGAGCTGCTGAGCCAGAAGCGGCGCAAGCGGCGGCGGATGCTGCGGGAGCGGAGCCCCTCTCCGCCCACGGTGCAGAACAAGCGCCGCACGCCCTCGCCCCGCCTGCCCCTCTCCACCCGCTACAGCCCCGACGAGATGAACAACAGCCCCAACTTCGAGGAGAAGAAGCGCTTCCTCACCATCTTCAACCTCACGCACATCAGCGCCGAGAAGAGGAAAGGTAACAGCCATGGCCCGTGCACGCTGGGGCCGGGGGGTGCCGTGGGGGATCTGCCTGGGGCCCTGAGCTTGCTCTGCTGAGCTGAGGCTACACTAAACCTCAGCTTCCCATGCTGCAGACAAGGAGAAGCTGGTGGAGATGCTCCAGGCCATGAAGCAGAAGACAACGCCGGCCGCCGTGGTGGTGAAGAGCTCCCCGCGGGACAGCCCCGGTGCCCCCAGCACTGGTAAGCGCCCCAAGTCCTTCCCCTGGTCTTGGGTTGGGGGGCACAGCTTTGCCTTGAGGGGCACACACAGCCCTGGCTGCAAACAACTGCTCCTCCTCTTCCCAAAGAGCCTCCAGTGCCTCCGCTCCTGCTGGACCTGGATAAACCCGTGGGCATCGCCGTCTCCGTGCCAGAGGTGCCGAAGGTGGCAGAAGCCTCCAGGTTAGAGCAGCTGAGACCCCAGGAGCCAGGCAGGCCCAAGGAGTCGGGCACGGCGCCGGAGAAGCCCCGGCTGAGTGATGGGCACCCTGGGAAGAAAGCTCTGAGCATCCTCAGCTACGTCAGGGGTCCCCTCCCCAAGGACATCCCGGTGCCGCTGTCCCACAGCATGAACGGCAAGAGCAAGCCCTGGGAGCCCTTCATTGCTGAGGAGTTTGCCCACCAGTTCCACGAGTCGGTGCTGCAGTCCACGCAGAAGGCGCTGCAGAAGCACAAAGGTAACGTTGGAAGTCGTTGGGAATTAAAGTCACTTAAAGAATCACCAGCAGAAGCATCAGCAAAGCCAGGTTTAGGGTAAAACCAGTATTACTACAAAGTTCGTTGGCAAGGTTCTCTCTCTTGTTTATTAGATGGTTAAAGCACTCTGAGGAAAAGCAAACAAAAATGCAAAGTTGATAAATAAACCCCAAATAACCTGTGTGGAGGCTGGAGGAGGGGGAAATAAAAGGATAGGAAAGGGTAAGGACAAAAAGGAATACGGAAGACCCTCGTGTCGAGTCACAAGTTCAGAGTAGATCTCTGTGTTAAACTGAGCATGGGCTTGATCAACAGGTTATGGTTAAAGGCTCAACAGTACTTAAACTTAACAGCACTTAACAGCATTTAAACTTAATTAATAATTTAGTAAGGGGTTCATAAGGAATTTACTATACCACAAAACAATAACTTCCTTACAGGCCTAACTTCCAAATCTAAAGTAGTTAAGAATCCAGGAGAGTAATATTCTGAACTGAGTGCCACATTGAGCCCTTCTTGTACCCCTTCAGGGATGGGGACTCCACCAGCTCTCAGGGCAGCTCCTTCCAATGTTTAACAACCCTGCCAATCAAGAAATTCTCCCTGATGTCCAGAAAAAGCAGCAGGGATGCAGGAGGCTGGTTGGGTACTGGGATATCACCCTCTTGTCCCCCCACCAGGGTTTGGCACTGGCAACCTCATTGCTAAAGCTAAAAATTAGGGATAATACAGCTCCAAAGCCTCCAAACTCACTCCGTTGGAGTGCCTGAAATAAATAAAACCCCTCCAGCACACCAGGAGTGCTAAAACCCCCCCTGTAATCCCCCGAAAAGCCTGGGAAGGGTGGAATAAATGCCTTGAGGGGCCGAGGGGAGTGGGCAGGGGCTGACTGTGGCTGCCCACAGGGGGGACAGCGACGGAGCAGAACCACAAACTGGACACCTCCATCCACTACAACATCCCCGAGCTGCAGGCGTCCTCCCGCCTGGCCCCGCACAACGGCACGGCCGAGGCACCGCCCCGGCCTCTGCCCCCCCTGCCCCGGGACTCCGCCTCCGAGGACGAGGAGGAGGAGGACGAGGAGGAGGAAGAGGAGGAAGATTACCCCAGGCCCAAGTGGCAAGGGATCGAGGCAATTTTTGAAGCTTACCAGGAACATATAGAAGGTAAGGGGTGTCGGGCAGGGAGGGTCAAATGCCAGTTTGTGCTTTGGGAGGTGTCACTGGTTTCTGCTGGGATGGGCTGGGGAAGCACTGGGGGGTCTCCAGCAGTGCAGGAGCAGCATGAAAGCAACAGGCACCGTTGTTGTTTTTGCAAAACTTAATGTATGTGTGAAAAATCAGTGTATTCACAGGTGCCCAGTGTCCTCCCAGGGGGACCTAAAGGTTCCCCACAGGCAGTGCCAGGGTTGGGAACGCCCTGGGATGCTGGGGGCAATCACTGCTGGCTGGGCAGAGCCTAGAGCAGGGCCGGCACCCTCCGTGGGTGGTGCAAGGAGCTGGAGGAGCCGGTGCTCAGCCCTTGTCCTTTGGCTGTTGCAGAACAAAACCTGGAGCGCCAGGTGCTGCAGACACAGTGCCGGCGGCTGGAGGCCCAGCACTACACCCTGAGCCTGACAGCTGAGCAGCTGTCACACAGCATGGCGGTGAGTGGGGATGGGCACCCATCCTCTGGGCATCCATCCCTTGGACACCCATGCCCTGGGCACCCATCCCTTGGGAACACATCTCCTGGGCACCCATCCCCTGGGCGCCCCATCCTTTGGACACCCATCCCCTGGGCACCCATCCCTTGGACACCCCATCCCTATGGCCTGCCATGTCCTGGTCACCAGGCTCTGTGGGTGCCCAACCTTCTTGGGATCTTCTAGGGCACCCCCATCCTCCCACTGCACACCCGTCTACATGCATTGCACCCATCCTGTGCAGTGCCCATTCCCTGCAGTTCCCCATTCCCTGCTATATCCCATCCCCTGCAGTGCCCATCCCTTGTCCCCCGCCCCATTCCCCCTGTAGTTCTCCATTCCCTGCTGTATCCCAAACCCTCCACTGCCCATTCCCTGCAGCCCTCATTCCGTGCATTGCCCCATCCATGCACTGCCCATTCCCTGCTGTATCCCAAACCTTGCAGTGCCCATTCCCTGCTGTATCCCATTCCCTGTAGTGTTCATTCCCTGCCCTGCCTATTCCTTGCAGTGCTCATTCTTTGCACTGCCCATTCCCTGTGGTGCCTGTTTCTTGCACTGCCCATTCCTGCACTGCCCCATTCCCTGCACTGCCCCATTCCCTGCAGTACCCATTCCTTGCAATATCCCATTCCCTTCACTGCCCATCCCCTGCTATATCTCAAACCCTGCACTGCCCCATCCCCTGCTATATCCCAAACTGTGCACTGCCCATCCCTGCACTGCCCATTCCCTGCAGCGCCCATTCCCAGTCCGTTCCTTGCACTGCCCATTCCCTGTCACGGCTGTTTCATGCGCTGCCCATTCCCAGCAGCACCGCCACCCTCTCCCCCTGCCATTCCCCCTTCCCTGGAGCTGTCCCTCTGACCATGCCCATTCCCTGGCTGCCTGCAGGAGCTGAGGAGCCAGAAGCAGAAGATGGTGTCGGAGCGGGAGCGCCTGCAAGCCGAGCTGGATCACCTGCGGAAGTGCCTTGCCTTGCCTGCAATGCAGTGGTCTAGGGGTTATTTCAAGGGGTATCCCAGGTGACGCTCCTTGGGCCAGGCCGAACATATAGTCTAGAAATAATAATCTATTTTATTACCTTGAATATTTAATATTTTTCACTGGGAGGTTTGAAGCTACGAAAATAAAATTAAAAAAAAAAAAAAGGACGGAAAAAAACAAAAAACAAAAAAAAAAAAAAAAAGAAGAAGAAGAAAGCCCAAACCGCGGCAACAAAATCATTAATAATAAAAGGAAGAAAACAAAACGAAAAAAAAAGAAATAAATAAATGGAGAATGTGCCATGCATGAAGCAAACGGGAGCCGGGAGGAGCCGGGAGCCCATCCCACGGCCAGCAGCCCCCGGCATGTCCCCTCCTGTCCCCTCCTCCGGGGGCCACGGCTCTGAAGGGCCCCCCTCCACCCACCCACACTTTATAACGCTCATTTTTGTTGGTTCTTTGGTTTTGTTTTTTTTTTTTTCTAAAAAACAAAAAAAAAAAAAAGACAATGAAAGACTCCACCGACAACACTAAACCCGGCGGGGCCCCGGGTGCTGCCGGATCCCGCTCCCAGCACGGCACCCCCAGCCCGGGGCTTCCCCTGGAAATGCACTTCGCTATCAAAAAATAAAGTCAATAAACTGGTTGAAGGTCCCTTTTTGTTCCTGGTTGGTGGGGAAGGGGCAGGGACACGCGTGGGGTCACTTTGTCACCCCGGCTTTGGGATTGAACAGGCGGAAAAAAAGAGAAAAAAAAAAAAGGTGCTTCAGCCTTGTACTGTGTATATATATTAAAAAACAACAAAGTTTTGTATGTTTTTATTGCTTTAATTATTGTTATAAAAAGCTTGCCTTTTTTTTTAAGATGTTTCTGCTTTTTTTTTTCCTTTTTTCCCCCCCCTTCCTTCTCCCTCCCTGTTTTTACTTTCTTTCTAGTTTGTTTTCTTTTTTTTTTTTCCTTTTGGCAAAAGGATAAACTCGCTTTTAGTGTTTGTACTGCTGCTGGTCGGGCCAGAAAAGATATTGAAATGTTTTAAAAAGAATTGAAACCCAGGAAAAATAAATCCCCTTTTCCACTGGGGCAGATCCTGTCCCACCACCAGGCCCTCGAGAAGCTGAGCCCTTCCACCCTCCTGTGGTTTTGTTTTTTTATTTTTACCCTTTTTCTTTTGCTTTCTGGGGCTTTTTCTGCTCCAGCTGGGTCGTCGTGGGTGTCACGGTGCCGAGTGGTGTCTGAGCCTTGCCCAGGCTCCATCTGCCAAAGGAAAAATCCCAAGGAATTGCGTGGAGAGGGTGAAGGGTTCAGGGGTGGGTGGCACTGGGGTGTCCTTGTCCCCCCCCTCCAAAAAACTACCAAGACAATCAGAGCAGCTCTAAAGCAGTTTGGGCACAGGGAGAGTGGGTCCTGTGGGGTCTCCTGGTGGCACTTTGGGGACAATCCATGCAGAGCTGTGCCCGCAGGCGGGCAGGGATGTCCTGGTGCCACCAGGGTCAGGCTTGGTGCCATTTTTAGCCACTTGCTAAAAACCAGCGTGTGCCCCGCCTCCCCTCTCCCGAGAGAGCCTTTTTATTTGATTGTTATTTTTAAATTATTTATTAGAAATTGTTTTTAATTCGCCACGAGACCAGCTCACATCTCTGGGAAAAGGTGACCTCTGCTTCCTGCTTTAAATTCCCTCGTTGCACTGGCAAAGGAAAGCATTAACCCCCCCACGCCCCCCCTGCTCCCTGCTCTCTCATTGGCTTCACCAAATAAAAAAAAAAAAAAAAAAAAAAGCTGGGCAAGATTAAAAAGCAAAATGCCCTTGTGACAGAAATTAGTTTAATCTTTTTTAAATCCCCAATTGCCTCGCCAGCCTCTGGCCTCGCTGCTGCCAGCTCCAAGCTTCGAAGGGAATTTTAACACGGCAAAATTCGCTCCTTTCCCTTCCTGTGTGCCGTGGCAGAGGGAGGGGGAAGAAGCCAGGGATGGAAAATCATTGGCAATTTATCCCTCACCGTGCTGAGGAGCCTGGCTGGGATGCAGCCTCGCTTTGTAGCAGCTCCTGTGCTGACTTTCCCTCCTCGCCAGCCTGGATTCTGGGTTTTTGGACCAATTTTTCCCCCACCCCGGGGTTGTGGTGGGAATTTGTGTCCGTGCAGAACTGTGCCAGAGCCTGGAAGGGCTGGGAGGAAGGAGAGAAAGGCAGAGCCTGCTGGGGGCAGGTTGGATGCTGTGAAAGAAAACAAAAAAATAACGGCAAAAGAGGAGAAAAACCCAACCCTAAACATGTTCAAAGTGTACCTTGTTGGAATTAATTGTAATGTAATATATTATTTGTTGGCTGTAGTAATTAGGTATTTATGAATATATTGCTGTAATTCCTGAAAACATCCCCAAAAAAACCCCCAAATAAACTCTTCCACAACGAGGGCAAGGAATCCTTTCTCCCTTGGGAAGGCAGCCCTGCTCCAGCACAGCTCCTGCCGTCGTTCCTGCCATCCTCCCTGCCGTGCCAGCCCCTCGGGGCACAGCCCGGGCAGGCAGGGATGGCACAGATGGCAGCGGGAAGGGCAGCGCCGGCAGCCTGGAACCGCCGGGCACCGGCAATAACGAGAGCTGCCATCAGCACAGCCCTGCTCCGGCCAGAGCCCGCCTGGATCCCGCCCCAAATCCTGCCTGGATCCGCCTGGATCCTGCTTGAATCCTGCCCTGGATCCTGCCTGAATCCTGCCCTGGATCCTGCCTGAATCCTGTCTGGATTCTGCTTGAATCCTGCCCTAGATCCTGCCTGAATCCTGCCCTGGATCCTGTCCGGATTCTGTTTGAATCCTGCCCTGGATCCTGTCTGGATTGTGCTTGAATCCTGCTCTGGATTCTGTCTGGATCTTGCCCTAGATCCTGTCTGGATTCTGCTTGAATCTTGCCCTGGATCCTGCCCCAGATCCTGTCTGGATCCTGCCCCAGATCCTGCTTGAGTCCTGCCCGGATCCTGCTTGAGTCCTGCCCTGGATCCTGTCTGGATTCTGCCCCAGATCCTGTCTGAATCTTGCTCTGGATTTTGCCTGGATCCTGCCCTGGACCTTGCCAGGATCCTGCCTGAATTCCATCTGGATCCTTCCTGAATCCTGCCCTGAATCTGCCATAAATCCTGCCCCAGATCCGGCCCTGGATCTTGTCCTAGATCCTGTCAGGATCCTGTCTGAATTCGGCCCTGGATCATGCCCTGGATTCTGTCTGAATCCTGCCCCAAATCCTGCCCTGGATCCTGCCCTTGCCTGTCGCTCTGCCGCAGGGAAAAGCGCCCGGAGCCAAAGGGGAGCTGCAGGATTTTCCAAGCATTGTTTGTGACACAGCCCAGGATTCATCTGATGCCGTTCTTCAGCCGCAATTATTTTTTTTATCTTTATTTTTTTTTTTACAGACGGCTTCAGATTAAAACCCCAAATATTACAAAAATAAAGATGGTTGATAATTCTGGTATTTCCCCACAGCCTGGCATCTGAGAGGGAAAACCATTTTCTTTTGTCCTTCTCCAAAGAGCAGATGGATCTGCTTCCCAGCTGATCTCCCCAGCAGACACCTCATTGCCGCCACATCTTCCCTTCTTTCTCTTTTTTCTTTTTTTTTTTTTTCTCTTTTTTCTTTTCCCCAAGGCTCTGAGAAAATCCATGGAAGCACCGCCTCGAAATTTATGGCTTTCAAGGCAGCGTGTGGCCTGTGCTGCCCTCAGAAGTTCCCTCGCTGAAGTACAACCCGAGAGATCCGCCCAGAGCCACCGGGGAGAAGCTGCACAGCTGCCACCCTGCCCGGGGCCCCGAGGGGACACGGGGACAATGGCACTGCCTGCTCTGTGTGCCCCGAGGGGACACGGGGACAATGGCACTGCCTGCTCTTCATGCCACGAGGGGACACGGGGACAATGGCACTGCCTGCTCTTCTTGTCCTGAGGGGACACGGGGACAGTGGCACTGCCTGCTCTGCATGCCCTGAGGGGACACGGGGACAATGGCACTGCCTGCTCTGTGTGCCCCGAGGGGACACGGGGACAATGGCACTGCCTGCTCTGCGTGCCACGAGGGGACATGGGGACAGTGCCACCACACTTCTTGACCTGAGGAGAGACAGGGACAGTGGCACTGACCTGCTCTTTATGCCCCAAGGGGACACAGGGACAGCGGCACCACCCTGAGGGGACATGGGGACAGTGGCACTGCCCTCTCTTCGTGAGAGGCACACAGGGACAGTGGCACTGGGACATGGGGACACAAGGACAGCTGGGGCACCTTCCTGCCCTGCAGGGACACCGTGGTGGGGACACTTGGACAATGGTGCCCTTTGGGGACACACAGACAGTGGGCCAGCCTGGTAGGGGACACAGGGACTGTGCCACACACAGGGACTGTGCCACCATGCCAGGGGACACAGGGAGTGTTTAAAGGGCAGGATGTGGTGACAGAGCTGGGGTCACACGAGTTGTGCCACGGGTGAGAGGATGTGGTGGCACCAAGCTGGGAGAGTGGGGGGCACCTGGACTGGGACAAGGACAGGACACAGTGATCCCAAGGGAGGAGACACACAGACAGGACAGAGGGACACAGAGCTGATGTCCCCAAGCTCACCTCGTGCCCTGTGTCACCCTTGGTGCCACATCCCAGAGCTGTAAATAGGTGAAGGGGACATAGACAGGGCCAGGCCCTGAACAAAGTTGTGTTTTGGGGGACCTGGGTGTTGGTTTGGGGGATGACAAAAAGGTGGGGAGGGGATAAAAGTGCCCCAAGGGGGGGTGGGGACAACTCCAGAGGGGAGAGTAAAAACCCCTGGGGGAGGGAGGGCAAAAAGCGCCTGCACTGAGGCTCTGGGGATGCTCCAGCAGCTCGAGAGCAATTCCCCCCTGGCCCTGAGGGGAGGTTTGAGGGCTGGCAGTCCCTGCAGGGAGCTGGGGCTGCCCAGGTGAAGCAGCTCCTTCCCAGCTCCCTGTCAGAAGTCCTGGGAGTGGGAGCCCTCGCCAGGCTGGAGGTTGGTGCGGAGCTTGTACATGTGATCCAAGGCCTGGGTAAGGAAAGTCCCAGTGGTGTTGATCTCCATCAGGGTTAAGTTATCCAGCTGAAAGGGGAAACAACAGGATTTGAGAAGACAAGGTACTTGGGAAGCAGCTCACAGCCCACAGTTCCCTTTGGTGACACCCCAAGGGACTGACCCAGCTGCCAGCCCTGAGCAAGAGAAGCACCCAATCAGAATTTCAAGAGCATTCCCCATGCCTGGAAGTGCTCAAGGACAAGCTGGATGGGGCTTGCAGCTGCCTGGTCAAGTGCAAAGTGAGGAAAGGGGTGGAACAAGATCTTTAAGAGCCAACCCAACCCATCCCATGACTCCTCTGCCTCCCACAAGGCGCAGGGAGCCGCCCATGGGCACGAGGTTCCACACACACCTCCAGCCCCTCAGTAACACACCCACAACCCAGGCCAGCATCCCCCTCTTCCCAGCAGCCCATCCCTCCCCCCTGATGCCCCTGGGTCCCTCCTGGAGGGGGTCCTGGCCCACCTTGGCGTGAGCCTCCTGCTGCCGCACGAAGCTGTCGGCGGACAGGCGCAGCTTGGCCATGCGCGTGTCCCACGTGTCCTTCACCAGCGTCCGGATCTCGTCTGCCCTGGGGATGTTGTCGGAGGCACTGGGACAGGAGAAGGGAGGGCAGGCTCAGGGCAGGCTCTGAGGGGTGTGTGGCTGTGCCACTGAGTGGTTGTGTCACTGAGCGCTGCTGTCACCAAGTGGTTGTGTCACGGCGTGGCGTTGTCACCACCTCACCCCACCCTGAGCTCGCAGGACAGTTTGCTAAAAACCTGCAGCTCCACACTGAAATCCTCCCTGCCCCTTGTCCTGCTGGCAGTTCTGGGATGGGTTCTTTCCCCAGGAATGCTCAGCTCCAATGCAGCAGCTGGCTGTCGCTAGAATCCTTCTGCTCTTTAATTGCCCAGCTGGTATGAGGTGCACAGAGGGCCCCAAACCTGGCCAAAGTCGGGGCCAGCTGGGGAATCCAAGGGCTCAGGGAGGATGAAATTCCCACCTCGGGGCTCCTGAGGCTCCATCAGGGAGAATTAAGCCGGAAGGGCTGGATGGGATGTGCCACATCACCCCATTAAGGCCACTCATTGCTGCCATAAGGAGCTGGGAGACGCGATGGATGTGCAGGGACAGAGCTGTCAGGGCTGCTGGAGCGTGCTGGGAAGGAGCAGCAGGCCAGGAGCCTCCTCTCCAGAGGGAAAAGCCAGAGCTGGAATGCCCACCCTGCTTAATCGAGGGCTTAAAAAGTCAGCAGAGCCCTCGCCGAGACAAACACCAGCCAGCAGATTTCACAAGTGAAATGCCTCAGCAGGCAGGAGCTCAGGCTCGGAATATCCCTGGCCTCCTGCTTCCCAGGCTGAGGGAAGAGGAGCTTTCCTCCTGAAGGAGAGCCAAGGAAGGAGCCTGGAGGCTGGAGGCTGCTGAACAGATTGCAGCCGTGGAACGTGTGGCGGCTCCTCCAGGCCTCCACGCTGAGCTGCTGCTCAATAAAGCAGCACAGCCCCAATTATGAGGCCAAGGAAGGAGCCATCCCCAAGTTCCTGAGAGGCAGAGTCACCATCAGGAAAGAGCTGCTGCGAAATCTTGGCAGGCTGAGGGATGAAACCTCCCTCAACTCTCCCTCTCCCCGCCGCCCTGCGGGGCTGCTGCCAAGCAAAGCTTGAAAAATCCTCCGTGCTCACACCAAGTGGGGTGGAAAATGGCCCAGCTCAGCTCCTACTCACTAGTTCAGCAGCAGCTTGGTGAGCTCCATGTAGTAGGGACTGGGCATTGGAGTGAAGGTGTCCTCCTTCCGCTCCTGATCCCGGATTTCCTCCAGTTTCCCTGAAATACAACCAGGGATGCTCAGCTCTTGCCAGGCTTTCAATGCTCCAGGTGTGTTTTTCCCCCTCCCCAGGGAAAATCCACGTTGTTTCTGTATGTGGGATGTGAGGGCAGGAAAAGGCTCCTGTGAGGAGGCACATAAGGGACATGGATGCCTCCAAGGTCTCCCTCCTCACAGAGATTTTCCCAAGAATTAGTGACAGGATGAGAGGAAACAGCCTCAGGTTCTGCCAGGGGATGTTCAGGTCAGACATCAGAATTCCTGGACTGAAAGAGTGGTTAAACACTGGAAGGGGCTGCCCAGGGAGGTTTGGAGTCCCCATCCCTGGAGGTGTCACTCTGGGCTGGTGACAAAGATGGGCACAAATTGATGAGGCTGGAGGTCTTTTCCAACCTAAAAAATACTGGGATTCTGTGACCCAAAATCCCTAAAGCTTCTTCTGAACAAGCCTCACCACCCTCAGAGTAAATAAAGAATTCCAGAGGTGGGACATGAGATCCTTCTGTCTCAGCTGCTCTGTGGTTTTGAATTAAGCTCCCCACTAATGGTGAAAACCAGGTTATTTTTAATTTCACGTTTCCACTGCACCCACTGAAGGCCAAAGCTGAAGCCAGAGCCTCCATCCTCACCAACATCCATCCATTCTGGGGGAATGAGCCGGCACTTCTGCCTCTGCTTCAGATTAATGGCCAACCACACAGGCACTTCCACTGGCAAGCCAGGATTGAAGGGACCCAGATCTCCCTGGAAAACAAATTAAGGATGACAGGTGGGCAACAACCAGGGCTTGGACTGCACAGAACTTGTCTGCTAATGTGGTGAGAGTTTCCAGAGGACTTGGAAAAGTCTGAGTCAAACATTTGATCCTGCATTTCCTCCTCTCACTTCCCAGAATTCTTGCTCTCAGACTTTCCTCATCTCCCTCGAGAAGGAATAACCAAGGTTTCCTTTTATTCCAAGGTGTTTCACAGGAGTTACAAACTCCATCTCCCTGGACATGCAGTTCCCAGAGGTTCCCCAGGTTCTGGTCAGTCCCAGGACAGTCGGACACTCCCAGCCGGGGCTCAGGGTCCCCCAGAGCTGTGCGGGACAGCACAGCCCCCTCAAAACCTCCTGGGGGCTGCTCTGCCTCTCCCCCCAACCCTCTGCCTGTCATTCCCCAATCTCTCCATCCCTCCATCCCAAATCCATCCCCCATCTCCTCCCCCTGCTCCCAATCCCCCCAGAGCCACCCTCATCCCCTCAGACCCACCCCAATCCCCCCAGACCCACCCCAATCCCCCCAGAGCCACCCTCATCCCCTCAGACCCACCCCAATCCCCCCAGAGCCACCCCAATCCCCCCAGCTCCTTTTCCTCACCCCCCTACCTCCAGCACCTCAATCCCAATCCCTTAAACCCCATTCCCTAGACCTAATCCCTGTCCCCAAGACCCACCCAGCCCCATAAGCCACCCAGACTCGTTCTCGGTCACCCCAGGCCGTGTCCCCAAGGCCCCAGGCCCGGCCCTGCCCCCTCAGCCCAGCCCGGCCCGGCCCCGCTGACCCCGATGAGGTGAATCCGGTCGAGGCTGAAGTTGGGCACGATCGTCACCAGCTCCTTCTCGGCCAGGAACTCCACCTCAGCCGGCTCCATGGACCCGGGCCAGCCCAGCCGGGATCGAACCGGAATCGAACCGGGATCGAAGCGGGACGGGGCCAGGACCGCACCGGAGCCGAGCCCGCCCTCGCTCCCTATTGGCTGCGCGGCCCCCAGGCCCCGCCCACCGCTTCCCGCTCCGGCTGCCCAGCGCGTTTTCGCGGTCTTTAGAGTAGGCGGAGCCTGGCGGGCGCGGCGGACGCTGATTGGCTATCCCCTTCTGTTGCCGTGGCGCACGCCTCTCTGATTGGCTGTCCTGCGCGCGGCGCGCTCTGACGGCAGCTCCGCGGAGGGAGGTCCGGATGGGGGCACGGGGACCAATCGTGGCGCTCCCTCCGGGCGCTCGGCCAATCAGCGCTCGGCACTTGTTGCCGGGGCGCCGAGGGAGTGGCGGAGCGCGCTGCTGTCGCCCTCTGGCGGCCGGGAGCGGCAGCGCCCCGCGGGAACGCGTGCGGGTCCCCGCGACCCCCGTGATGGGTGACATGGGCTGTGATGGGTGACACGGCTGTGATGGGTGACACGGCTCTGATGGGTGACATGGGCTGTGATGGGTGACATGGGCTGTGCCCAGGCCCCAGCAGCCGCCCTCCTGTGCATGCACCAGCAGCAGTGTCCGTATGTCTGTCTGTTCAGTGGCCCCTGTGCAGACATCCATGCTCAGTCACCTGCCATCACTCACTCGTCCCTTTCCCCTGTTCTCCATCCATCCACCTATCCATCTATCCATCCATCCATCCATCCATCCATCCATCCATCATCCGTCCACCCATCCATCCATCATCCATCCATCCATCCATGCATGCATCCATCCATCATTGATCCATCATCCATCCATCAATCCATCATCCATCCATCCCTCCATCCATCCATCCATCCATCCATCCATCCATCCATCCATCCATCCATCCATCCCTCCCTCCTTCCCTCCATCCATCCCCCTCCTCACACCCAGCTCAGCCAGGTGGTTTCTGGATGATTTTGGGGGGGCTGCGTCTCATTTGCAAGTCCCCATGGAACCCCCCCTCCCCACCAGACAAATCCACCCCTCCCAAACCACCTCGGGCTCAGCCCTGGGACCGCCCACGGATCATCCACAACCCTTGGGATGAGCATCACCCCCATCCTGGGGTGGGATCCAAGCCCCGGGCACCCCCAGCCCACCCTCACCATGGGTGGCACAAGGAGGGTCCCCAAGCCCCGTTCCCGGAGCAGCCCCCGGTGCTGCCAGCACGTGCTGGGCGCTCCGGGAGCGTCTCCCCCACGCTGCGCCTCCCCTCGCGTGTCTTTTGCCATCTGCTGCTGCCATTAAAAAATTAAATTTCCATCTGCTTTCACACTCCCGCCTCTCCCGCCGGCTCCGGTGCCGCCGCTCCCCGGGAAGCATCGCCCCCGGCTCCCTGCCGGGATGCGGCCGCTCCGATCCCGTTCCGGTGACACCGCCGAGTTCATTTTCCCGCTGCTGTTTGCTGAAATGGATCCTTCAATCCCTCCCTGGAGAGGTGGGCACATCACAATTTGCCCCCAGCAGGCGCAGGGGTGGCTCTGGGGTGTTTTGGGGTGCGCGACCCACCCTCCCCACGCTGACACAGCCAAGCTGGGGGTGCAGAACCCCAGGGTTTTATTCACCGAGGAGGGATCCCCCTGCCCGGCGCTGTCAGGAAAAGGGACAAACCCCAGTCCCTGGTGTCCAAACCCAGCCGCGTGGGTGCCCCGCGTGTCCCTGGCAGCTGCGGCCGTGCCCTGGGGGCTGTGGCTCCATCCCGACGGGTCCTGCCGGGCTGGCCGTGCCCCGTGTCCCCTCTCAGCAGGGGCTGCAGGGTGAGGGACCCTCCCCACGCCGGGCCAGCGCGGTGCCCGTGGGCGTGGGCGGTGTGACGATGATGGAGGGCACGTGGAGGTGCTTCTGTCCCGCCCTCGGGGTGCCCTCGCTGCCGTTCCCGCTGCTCACACACATCTTCAGGCCTGGGGGGTAGGGGGAGAGGACATTTTAGGGGATAAAAGGGGGATAAAAGGAGATAAGGCACCAGCATCCTCCAGCTCCCCGCCCTCCTCCGTGCCAGCCCTTTACAAGCCGCTGGAGAATCCACAGCATCCTCCTCACACCTCCTCCCCTGGATCCACCTTGGATTTCGGGGGGTTTCAGAGGTGGATCCCCCCCTTCCCTCGACCCCCTGCCCAGCCCATCCCACCCCCCCTGAGGGGAGCAGATCGCTTTAATCTGCTTTTTTAATCAGGAGAAAAGCCCTGTGTGGCACAGGCGGCATCCAGGGAGGTTTCAGCTCTTCCCAAGCAAGAAAATGCCCGGAGGGGACAGACACTGATATTTTTAATCTCTTTTTAATTAAGGATAAAGCCCTGCCTTATGTAAGGGAGCTGGAAAAGGGGGAGGGTCTTTTCTTTTATTCCAGGCTCCAAGCTCATCAGAGGGGTCTGGAAGCATGGGGGAATCTTTTGGGGCTTTGTTCTGGATTTGGGGCAGGATTGGGATTCCCTGGCTGCTTGCTTCCCCCTCTTCAGTTACCCCTTACTGGACAGGGGGGGTTGTGATACCCCAAACCCCCCTGACCATTCCCTCCCAACATCCCTGATGCGGAGAGGGGGCAGAGCTCATTTTTGGGTGATGCACCCAACTCTGTGCTCATCACAACCAGAATCCCACAGAATGTGGGCTTGGGAAGAGGCAGCCCTGCATCCTGCAGAGGGATCCTCATTAAGCCCCATCCCTAATGACCCCAAGGACGATTAGCAGGAGTCAGAGGGATGCAGAGCTAATGGGAGATGCCATATCCAGCCCTCGCCCTGCCAGGCCAGCAGCACTAAAAGCTCTGCCCCTGTGCAGACATCCCTGACGCCATTCCCAGCCTAAATCCATTAAGAAAATTCAACTTGGGGAAGAAGCTCCTGGTTGGAGTGTCCCTGGGGAGAGTGGAGCAGTGAGGGATGCTTGGGGCCAGCCTGGAGCTGGGAGCTGGGAGCCAGGCTCGGGGCTGAGCCCTGCATCCCACCCACCCCTGTCCCCGAGCACCTGCTTTATTGAACCCATGGATTCTCCAGGGCAAAGGGTGCAGGACAAGCACAGGACTGGGAAAACAAAGCTGGGAAAATCCTCTTTGGGGTGATCCAGGCACCAACAGGTGGGACTTCAGAAATTCCACCACATCCCCAAACTCCACCCAAAACCCGCCCACACCTGAGCCTCCTGTGGGTACAACCATCCCTAGGCGCCTTCAGGGAGCAGCAGCACCCCAAACCCTCAGCCCAAGCTCACCTTTCAGGCAGGAGAACCTGAGCCCCATGTTTTCATCCTCTCAGCGGGATCCAGCCCTCCAGCCCCGCCGCCGGCCCTCGCTGCAGGCGCTGGGGGAGAGAGGAGAGGGCTTGGGGGAGCGATGCCAGGGGCAGGAAGGAGCAGGAGCTGAGAGCTCACATCTCTCCCTGCGTGTCTGTGCCTACAGGAGCCACAGGAAACGCGGCTGCTCGCTCGCAAAACCACCGCTGATGTCACGGCACCGGGGTGACTCAATCTGGCCCAGTGAGGTCCAGGAAGAACTTTTTGGGAGGGTGGAGAAGGAGCCTGGTGCTGGCTGAGTGGTCCCATCCCAGCTTCTCCCACCCCCTGAAAATATTTCAAGATGGGAAGGCTGGGAGCAGGAGGAACTGGTTGGTTTTAGGTTGGTTCTCGCAGAGGAAACCCCACAATTTCTCTGTTTCCCCTGTGTGATGCCAGAGCTGCCTCCCTCGGGCTGAGACAGAGCAGCTGCTGGGATGCACTGCTGGAATTCACACCATCCTGCTCCTCCTGGGCATCCCTGATATCCCCAGAGCTTTTGGAGGGATAATTCCCACTGTGGGACACCATTTTTTTCAAGATGCTGAAAATTTTTCTGTGGAAAAAAAGAAAAAAATTCCCTTTATTGGGAAATCTTCAGCCCTCCTCCCACAGCTGCTGGGAAAAGCTTATTGGGATGAGGGTCAGTGACTCATTTTGGCTCTTCCAAGCTCTGGGCCACACAGAGAGCCAAGGAAAGCCTCTGCCCCCCCTGCCTGACCTCTGTCTTTCCAAGAAGCTCTCAGATGGGTTGGCAGCAGCCTGCAAGGGGAAGTGAAAATTTGCTATCTCTGCTTTTAATTCTGTATTTTTATCAGTTCCCCAGGTGCAGCCTGAGCTGTGAACGCCCCACAGGGCTGGGGAGTGGAGTCTTCCCCAGGACATCACTTTGCAGCTCTCCTGGAGGCTGCCCAAATATCAGGAAATCTGTTTTGAGGCAAATCCTGTGGGTTTTGGCACCTGCTGGTGGCTCACACCACTCTGGGACAGAGAGAGGAGGGTCCTGCTGGGGACACCCAGCTCTGGGCACAGGGGGACTCCATCCTCTGGGATCTGATCCCTGGGGATCTGATCCTCTGGAATCTAATCCTCTGGGATCTGATCATCTGGGATGGGGACACCCAGCTCCCTACACAGGGCATCTCCTCTGGGATCTGATCCTCTGGGATCTGATCCTCTGGAATCTCATCCTTTGGAATCTCATCCTCTGGAATCTCATCCTCTGGAATCTGATCCTTTGGAATCTCATCCTCTGGGAGCACCCCCCGTGGCCAAACCCTTGCAGAGGACACAGCAGCCCCCTCCCCATGGCTAAGGGCCAGAATTCGGGTGGAGGATTCCCCCTGCCAGCATCCCAGCAGGATTCCTGCTGCTGGGGGCTCCACCTTGGCTCCTGTGTGCCAGCACCAGGCCAAAGGAACATTCGCATCCCGGCGAGTTCACGCTCCAAAAATCCCCAGAGGCTCACGGCGGGTGCCACTGGAGCGGGGACCGAGCTGCCCGGCCAGGGGGGACACTCAGAGCGTGCCCTGGGAAGGGGAAAAGGGACAAAGCTGCGAGGGGTGGCACTTACCCGGTGCCCGCAGGGGCGATGCCCGCGGTCGCATCCCACCGCTCCCGGGTGCCGGAGGCTGGCACGGGGGATGCCTCGGCAGGGCAGGAGGGCGGCAGGAGGAGGCAGCCGCCGCCTTTGGGTTTGGCGGGGCTGCTTGGAGCCCGGTTAATGAGGACAGCGGAGCCCCGGCTCCTCCCATGCAGCCCCCGCTCCGAGCCCCGACCCGCGCCCGGCAAAGCCCTTGGGTGATGAGGGAACGCGGATTTACTCTCACCCCGCTGCACAAGGCAGTCCAGAGATGACAGAGACAGAGGGAGGAGTGCCCTGGGCTGCCGGCAAAGCCGCCGGGCATCCAACATCCCCACGAGCAGCCTGAGGGCCACCAAGAGCCCCGACAGGGCCAGTGAGTGCCCGCAGCCAAGGACATCAGCGTCCCTGAGGTCCTGATGTCACCAGGCATCAACTCTGGGAGCAGCTCCACCTGCACCACCTTCCAGGAAGGATCTTTGCCCCTTCCCAGCCCCAAAGCCAGCCTGGCAGCGGGCAGGGCTCCTCACCGTTCCCGGGATGAGCGCTCCGGGTCGGGTCCCAGCGGGTCGGGTCCCAGCCCGGGGCCAGGCTGTGCCTCCGGAGCAGCCGCCTTGGCCTGCATCAGCAGCAGCCAGAGGCTTTTCCGTGTTCCCCCTCCTCCGCAATTAACAGGCGAGGCCCCCGCGCCTTCCAGGCTCCTTTTCAGGCTCCTTTTCAGGCTCCTTTTCAAGCAGCGGTTCGAATGCAGGCAACGCCGGCCGCACATTAAACAGCCCCGGCTGCGGGAGGCAGGAAGGTGGAAGGGAAAGGAAGGGAAAAGGAGCTTGGAAGTTCACGCCGGGATCAGGAGAGAGCCGATCCCAGCGGTTTGGGAGGGCTCCGGTGGGATCAGAGCCCCACCAGGCCTGGCTGGGATGGGTGTGAAGGGCAGCAGGGACAGCAAAGGGGTGGTTTTGCTCCACTTTCTGCTGGTTTGGTCCTGCCATGTCTGATGAAAATCAGAAACCTGGGAAGAGCTGATTTCCTTCCCGATCTGACTCCTCTGATTTGTCAAATAACTGAGTTATTGCAGAGCTCCAGGAGAGGGGAGGGTGGCAAAGGGGCAAGGCTGCAGCTCCAGTGGGCACAGCCCTGGGCAAAGACATCTGCAACCCACAGCTCCCTCTTTTCCCTCCAGTAAACTGACAAATTAATTGGGTTATGTGGACTTTTCCCCCCTGTTCACCTGCAAAGTCTAAGACTTAGAGACAAATCCTGAAGCAGAGCCTGGCAAACCTGATCTTTCAAGATCCCATCCCAAACTCAGAGCAGGCAGCATCCCATGGAGCCAGGAATCACTCCCAGACAGCACAAATCCAGTCAGAGCAGCACAAATCCTGCTTCCACCTTGAGCTATTTTACTGCCTGTCTCCAAAACAACCTGTTTGCTGCTGCTGGGTGAGAGCAAACAGCCCCAAACCCACGAGGGCTGGAATTAGCCTGGCCTGGAGCAGCAGTTGTTGCTACAACAGTGACAAAAAGTGATTGTCTTGCTGCAGCAGGGATGGGAAACAAACACCAGGCTGCTAAAATACCTGTGGTTAGCTCTGCGGGTGCAGCACAGCTCCAGCTGCTCTGCTGACACCTGATAGGCACAAACACAGCGTCAAACACCCCTTCCTGCCCTCCCCAGGGCTGGTGAACAAAGCAAAAAAACCTTTGTGAAGGTTTATAAAGTGGGGGTTGTCCACCTTGAGGTGATTGGGAATGACCTGGAGCCCCTGTGCTGTGGGGTCCTGGTCACTGCTGGGTGAGCAGGGTTAGGGAGAGCTGAGTGCCAGGGGGCTCAACACCTCCCAGCCAGGAGTTCCTGGTTCCTGTCACAAGGCTCTGAGCTGTGACTTGCTGAGCATCACGTCAGGGCAAGTGGCCAAAGCCCAGCAGGAGCCAGCTGGCCAGGGGAGGAAGAGGATGGGCTCAGGGGGTGGGTGGGTATGGAGCCACCTTCACTCCCTGGGGAAAGATTGTCCTTGCAGAGCTGGCCAGAGCCTGCCTGTCCCCTGAGGTGCTCACTGCCTGCTTTCCAGTCCTGCCTGTGTCCCTTTGGTACTGGGCTGCTCCTCTCCCCTCCTGCTCCATCCTGGCCCGGGGCTGAAGCCCTGCTGGGGGGTGAGGATGGAGGGCAGCCTCTCAAACCCCCTCTGGGGGAAGGAAGGGCAGGGAGAGCTGCTGCTGCTTCCCAGGCGCCAGAGGAAAACCGCAGGGACAAGGGACGCGTTGTGCAAGCACTGGCCACAAGAAAAGCTTTGGCTGGAGAGCTCGGAGCAGCTCTGCTGGCTGCCTTCAGGAGCTGCTCTGCAAATACCAGCTGGGCTCCCCTTCCAGCAGGGAGGGGGAGGAAGCAGCTTTCTGGGTCACAGAGTGCCAGGGTGTGCTAACGCAGGTGACACGTCACCTCCGTGCTAACGGAGCAGCCAGGCCACCTGTCCCCTCCTGCCCCCGGCCCTTCTGGGAAACCAAGGGCTGCTCCCAGCCTGGCTCTGGGGCTGCCCCAGAAAGGGGCTGCTGGAAGGTCCTGCCCGGGCCTTGCCAGAGCTGGAAGTGGCAACCAGTGCTGGGAGTGGAGAGGAAATTCCCTCCTGGAGATCCAGAGTCGCCAGGGCTGGCGAGCAGCACCCGGAGGGGATGCCAGGAGTGGGGAGGGAGGGAAGGAGGGAGGGGGGAGGATGTCACGAGGAGGCAGCTGAAGATGCAGGCTCTGGGGGAACTGGAGCAGCTCCAGCACTCCCCAAGCACGGGCTCTTGGCAGGAGCAGCAGAGCGAGACAGCGGCAGGAACCGCGTGGGCTGGAAGCACCCCCGGAGAAAATCCAGCGGGATGGGGCAGGAGAGAGGGTCAGGAGGGAAGGGGGAGCGAGGACATACCTGAGGCACAGAGCTCCTGCATCCAGGACAAAGCACCTCTCCCCAGCATGGATCCGGCCGGGAGGCCACGGCTGGGAATTGGCTTAGGGACCTGGCCACGGCTGCCGCGCTTCCCGGCTCGCTGAGCTCCAGGTTAATCTGGGCCCAGCTTTCCCTTTTATCCCCTGCTGCTACAACCTCGATAGAGTTTTTCAATTAGGTCCATCTTTTAAGCTCCAGGGTGCATTTCTAGGAAGGGCGGCGGCGTTCTGCCCGGCCCGGCTGTGCGCAGAGCTGCGCCTGGCACGGATCCTGCCCGCATCCCGCTGGAGCTGCAGCCCCAGCAACCCTGCCTGGAACACTCCCGGAGTGAGCCCTCGGCCCCTGCCCACCTACCGGGTGTTCCTAAGAGCAGAGTTCCCTGCTTCCCTCATCCCAGCTCCGGCAGGCTGGAAGTGCCACAGGCAGGAGCGCTGTCCCCCCCTGCCAGCTGCTGTCCCCCCGTGTCCGTTCTCTCCTCTGGAAACCAAGAGGAAGGGATGCAGCTGAGGAAGGGATGCAGCTGAGGAAGGGATGCAGCTGGGGTGGACTTTCGAAGGAGAAGGCTGGGTGAAAATGTGGTCTAAAAGCGACAGTGAAAAAAATAAAAAAGGGAAATCGATAAAGCCCTCAGCGGCTCCTTGGGCACACAGAAAGCGCTGCCGCTGCGGGAGGGCTGGCTCAGGGCTCAGGGGGTTGTGCTGCACGACTGGGATGTGTGGAGGTGCCCAAGTCCAGCTGGGAATAGCAGAGCCTGGGCGGGATGGGAGGGGAGCAGCCCAACAGGGACCAGCTCCTGTGGGTGCCCCAGCTCGGCTCCAGGAGCTGAATTCCACCCGAACGAGAAGCAGAGCTCACAGACCGAGCGCATTTCCCCTCGAGGCCATTTTCCAGGCTGCACTCAGCCGCAAGCCCACCCCGCTAACAGCCTCCTCCATTAGCATCATCGCGGCTCTCCCTGGCGGTGCCCTCCTCCTCCGGCATCTCCAGCCCGGAGTGCAGCGATTAGGCCGGGAGCCAGGGAGCAGAGGGGCCAGGCACTGCTTCCTGCGTCTGTCACCGTCGCCTCTCCTCGCCTGCCACTCGCTGGAGGAATTTCTGGGGGCAGGGGGCCGCCCCTCACGGCTGGGGTGGGCTCTGCACATCTGTCTGCTGCTGGCTCCAGCTGTGCCAGGTGTGATCTCTGAACCGCTCACCTGCTCCTGCGTCGGCTCCAAGAGCTGGAGATGTTACATCTCTGCTCGCTTTCCTCGGGAACATCCCAGGAGCAGATGGGAAGAGGGAAAATGCCAGCAGCAGGCTGCTTTGCTTGCTGGATGGGGAAAAAACTTCCCCAAAGCCTTGTATGCACCCACAGAGTGATGAGCTCAGGGAGAATGTGGGACCTGGCATTCCCTGGGAGCAGGGACCTCACTTGGAAATGCCCCAGAGCAGCTGCTCAGGGATTCTGTGGCTCCTGTCACCCATCTGCCTGTGGGGATGCTTGTCACTGTTCTGGAAAATTGGGTTGAGTGGAGAAAAGAGAATCCCACAGACTGGGGGAGCTGGGGGTGCTCACATGGAGAAGGATCCAGGGAGAGCCCAGAGCCCTTGCAGGGCCTAAAGGGGCTCCAGGAGAGGGACAAGGGATGGAGGACAGGACACAGGGAATGGTTTCCCACCGCCAGAGAGTGGATTTAGATGGGATTTTGGGAAGGAATCGTTGGTGCCCAGAGCAGCTGTGGCAGCCCCTGGATCCCTGGCAGTGCCCAGGGCCAGGCTGGGCAGGGCTTGGAGCAGCCTGGGTCAGTGGAAGGTGTCCCTGCCCATGGCAGGAGATGGAATGAGATGATTTAAAGATCTTTTCCCACCCAAACCATCCAGGGATTCTTTTTTCCAAGTGCTTCAGGTCATGTGGATGAGGTAAAAAAGTTGGGAGTTAAAACATCTGGGCAGCCAAATGCCAAATTTTGATGGATAGGGAGAAAAAAGTTAATCCTGGAAGTCATTAATTACTAACCAAAAAAGACTAGGACACACAGTCCCAGGGCTGCCTTCCCAGCTCTCAGCAAGAGATGCCTTCCCCAAGATTTCCTCCCCCTCAAGTTTTACATGGAATTACCTTGAATTCCTGCCCTGAATCCAGAGGATCAACCAGCCAGGAAAGCAGCATTTGCTCCGGGCACATCAGCAGGAGAGGGGAACCCAGCCTTCCCCGAGCCCTGCAGCTTCCTCATTCTGCCAGGAGAGCCACGGTGGCTGCCTGGATTTATGGAATTGCTGCTCTTGTCCAGCCTTCAATGCAAATAGGCCAGGGGAGATAAGATCTGCAGGTTTGTCCTCTTTGCTTAAAGCCAGCCTGGGCTTCTGCTGGTGGCAAAAAAATCCTCGTTTGAAAGCAAAGAGCAAAGAGAAGATGGAAAAAGGGAAAGACAAAGCACTAAAAGCTGCTCCCCTTCCAGCAGGGTGTCCCAGGTTAGTCACAGGGAATATTCCAGCAGGTTACACACGGAGGAGACAAACTGCCGAACAGGGGGAGCAGGATTAGCCTGAATTTGCATATTTATGATCAAAGCTTGATTAGGAGATGCTGTTACAAAGAACAAGAAACACATTTCCTGTGGCTCAGGAGACCTAGCAGCTCCTTCTGACAACCCCACACGAGGAATCTGGCTAAGATAAGGATCTGCCTCTGGAACAATACCTTGGATTTCGCTGGCTGTTTGCACAAAGCCCTCTTCCTGCAGCCTGGGTGCTTTGCATTCTGCTCCAGGGAAATCTTTTCCTACAGATAGGGAGTGGAGCAGCCACCGGAATGTGTTATCTCACTGGTTTGGGGAGCTAAATACGTGTTTTCAGTCAACAAGTGAAAACATTTCCCTCTGCAAGCCTGACTCAGCCTAGGGAAGGTTCTTGACTCGGTGCCAAGCTCTTTGGTAATCACACCTCACCCGTGCACAGCAGGGAAATAAAAACCAAAGTGCCCAAAGCTTCCTCTCCTCCCTCTCACCTCACCCCATGGCCCTGTGGAATCTCCCCTGGAGGGAACTCCACAGCCTGGGGGCATCCAGGGTTTATTCCCTGCTGTTAAATGGGATTTTAGCCTTGCCCCATCCCTCTCAAAAACCAGGAGCAAAACCTGGGCTTATTGACTCAAAATTGTGAGGTTCAGACAATTCCATTTTGAAGTAAGCCCAGGTTGGATGGGGTTTGGAGCAACCTGCTCATGGGGAAGGTGTCCCTGCCCATGGAATGAGATGATGTCTGAGTCCCTTCCAACCCAAACTTTGCTGTGATTTTAACACTAAGATTGGGGACGGGCAGACATTTTGTGGATATTTGGATCTTCCTTGTAACAATATTTCTGGGCAGGAAGGGAAGGAAATCTGGAGGAATTGTTGCAGGTTGAGGCTGTGTTTAACTACAGTCAGGAGAGAGGCAACAAAGAGCTTTTCTAGGCTGGTATAAAGCTGCATTGTCCAGGAAACTTCTCCTTGGAAATAAATATTAATGGGAAAGACAAGGCAAGCTGAACTAGGCTGTACCCAGGCTCCCTGATTCCATGTACTTGGATCACGTGGAAAATGAGATCTGCTGATTAACTCCCCCCACAAAATGCATGAAATTAATACAGTACTTCACTACTGTAGACTCCAACTGCAGATTCAAACTCAGCAGTGTGCTCCCAGTCCTTTTTATAAATCATTTACTTTGGGTTTAACACATTCAAGCAGTAACTGTGCTTGCCAAGCCCATGGAGAGCAAGAATCACCAGATTATTTGGGAATACTGCTTTAAAACTCTCTGTCATGCTAAAGCACTGCAAAACAGGTGACACATGAGCATGGAACATCCTCAGCAGTTTGCATTTTACTGTGCCAAGAGAGTTACAATTCCAACCCAGGCCAGAAGAAACCATTCACTTCTCATTTGATCTATTTGCCCTTAAAATCTCTCACCTGAGGACAGGATTGATTTTTTTTTTTTTTTTTTGGAAAGGTATTTCCAGAAATCGTTAAAAAGTAACCTCTCTAAAGATTAGAAAAGCTGAAGTCAAAACTTTGGAATAGGAACAGCAGGGGCCAAGCAGAAGCAGTTCTGTTTTCCAAGGAATAGCAACATTCACTACAGGTGGGATGGTGTCCACGAGGACAGCTGGAAGTGACAGCTGGCAGCTCTTCCAGGGAATGTCACCACCAACATCCCGTGGCTTTACGGACACAGCACCGCGCCGCGGGACAGGCCACTCCTCTTTAATCAGTCAGCTTTCCACACAAGGTACTGAATATTAATTCTATTTACATTCAAAAATAGCATTTTTCTCTCTTCAGTACAGAGTGGGAATGCCCATGGATTAGTCAGGAGGATCCCTCCTAGCAGAGGTGCAGCACAGCTTTGTTGATCTCGGGGTTTGTCCAGTCGTTGCGGATGTCATCCAGGTGATTATCGAAATCCACCAGGGTCTCGTAGGATTTGCTGTCCAGCAGGGAGGCAGCGATGCGCTGGGCTTCGGTCCAGTCTTCACAGAAGTCACTAGGATGGAAAAGAACCAGGCAGCAATTGGAATCTTGGATGCTGAGAATTTTAAACTTTCTGCGCTTCCAAGGGAGCGCTGCATTTGACCTGAGGCCGTGGAACAGGCTTCCAAAATTAACTGATAGTACTGGGTGTGGAGTTGGTTAGGAGTGTGTAATATCACAGGGTGGAAAACTTAAAAGTTTGGGGTTTTAGAATATAGAAATAAATATAAAGCAGGATGGAGGTTTTAGGGTGGAGTCTGGTTGTTCTTCTTTACCTTCTTCTTCCTCCTTCTTCATGGGTTTGGGTGATGTTTTGTAATTGGACAGAAAAGTCTGCATTGTGGGCTTTGAGGGATCAGTTATTGGGTTTGAGGGATCAGTTATTTAAGTTTTCTACCCTGTGCTATCAGTAATAGCACAGGGTAGAAAACATAAAGTTTGGGGTTTTAGAATATACAAATAAAGCAGGATGGAGGTTTTAGGGTGGAGGCTCGTTGTTCCTCTTTACCTTCTTCCTTCTTCTTCAGGGTTTGGGTGATGTTTTGTAATTGGACAGAAAAGTCTGCATTGTGGGCTTTGAGGGATCAGTTATTGGGTTAAAGGGGAAAATAATTTAGGTGTCATTTCTTAGTTGGATAGTTTAGTCTTAAAAGACCTTGTAACAAGACATGGTTGGCCATTTTGTGCCTTGCTAATGAAAGGCTGCCAAACTCATGGTTGTGAGACTCACTGATAAGAAATGATAAACATGTGAGTCTGAACATGAACTACTGTCTCAAGTGCCTTCCATCCAGACCCAGGGAAACTGAGAGGAACCACCACAGAAAAACTCTAAATTAAGCCAGGCTGCAGTGCCCTCACAGGGACAGCCTGTTTTTCCCCAAAGCCCATGGAATTCCTGGTTCACTCACACGTGGGGGTCCTTGCACCTCCACTTGTTCTCGTGCAGCTCGTACACATGGATGGCAGGCTCCACACACTCCATGGTGAACTTGGTGTTGTCAACCTGGGGTGGGACATGGAAACAGCACCTCAGTCTCCTCCTCAGCATCCCAAGAGAGGAAATAAACCCCAAATCAGTTTGTAAAAACAGGGAATCTTACACCCACCCACTGTTTTACCCTCCAACTGCCAAATGTAAGCTGCCAATGTCCTTTGTCACAGCAGTGAGGAGGCAAAGCTTGGTTTGTGACATTAAATATAAGAATTTAAGTTGCAGGAGGTGGGCTGGAGCCAGAAATTGCTGCCTGAACATGTAGAGAAAGCCTCCAGTTCTTCTGAGGTGACAGAGAGCTCACCACAGTCTCTCTGTGGATTTACACTGAACTTCACTGCTCATTGCATCTCCTCCCCAGAGCATTTTGGACAGGAAGAGAAACTGAATTCCTCATGAAAGCAGCCAGAGAACAGCATTTCCCTGGTCCAGCAGCAGGGTCAGAACACACAGGGGGTGAGGGGGAGGAAGCTCTTTACCATGATGAGCGCAGTGTCTGTGAAACCCTCGGCAATCCGCGAGGCCACTTTCTCTGCAACCTGGTTTGGGCTGGAGCAGAAAGGAAAAGGAACTGAGTGATGGGAGCCACCAGTTTCAGCTGAAAGCAGCAGGAAATGAGCTCAGAGAGATGTGAGAGTGACTCTGGGTGCTTGCAAACAGGAACAAGATAAAGGAGCTGATGCCACAGCTGATAGAAGGCAGCTCAGCTGGGGTTAGGGACGGCTTTGGAATGACATGGAATCAACATTTGGTGGCCTCCTGTCTTCTTCCCCCTGATCAATGACTGCCCTGGCAGGCATTTAAAAAAGAAACTGAGTTTTCTCCCCAGTCTGCACTGAAAACTTGTCCAAAATCAGATAACCTGAGACAACCTTTACCACGTTTCAAAGGTGACAATCTCTGTGTGGTGCTACTTAATGTGGTGCCATCGACAATCTCTGTGTGGTGCCAGTTACCTTCAGAAATCAAACTGAACTTTCAAAAAACCATCAAACCTGTGACATTCCTTCAAACCTCAAAGAGAAAAAACTGTAACTTCTTAAAAATGTGTGCATCAGATTTATAAGGAAAGGACAAATAATACTTTTATCCCTGATAGACACCTTAGAAGTCACAGGTGTTCCTTAAAAACCATAACTGAGTCTGAATATACATTAACAAATAACTGGAATCAGAGCATCATGGAATGGTTGGGAGAGACCTTAAAGGTCCTCTGATCCCATCCCCTGCCATGGGTGGGACACTCTCCACTATCCCAGGTTGCTCCAAGCCTCATCCAACCTTGGACACTTCCAGGGATGGGGCATAATACTTTAAACAAGTTGCTCTTATTCTAGCTGATCAGTCCCAATCCTGGATTTGTCCAACAGATAGAGGGGAAAACATGGAATGCACAGATCTAAAATTAAACTGTGGCTCCACAGGAAGGTTCCTTATTGTTTAGTGAGTAATCTGAGTCAGCCAGCAGGGAAAAAAATGACTAATCCTGAGGAAAAGAAGTGATAAATAAGAGCTATCACTGACATCATTTTCCACTTCTTTACCATGTAAAAAACTGCTCTGAAAAAACTCAGCGACGATGAAGAAATTTAGAAAGAATCAGGTCACTCCTGACTTTCCATAAGAACCTGGGAGTTGTCAGACTTTCCAAGATCCATACTGCACGAGCAAACACTCTGCAGATTTTGGCTTTTTCCCTGACAACTGCAATTCAAGAAGCTGGCACTGGTTCAAAGAGTGGCCTTTTATAGCAGCCACGGGAGGAGAGCAGGGATTCTGCAAAGCCAGGACTTTCTGCACCTGACCAAAGGCCACATCCCGCAGCCCCACGGAGACAATGTGGAAGCAGCTGACAGTTGTCAGAGTGAATCACACACGCCTGATTTATGGGGATGATTGCTGCTGGCAGAGTCCAAGGTACGAGCTAAAAGAGCAAACAGAAGGAAATATTGGCCCAACACACCTGGCATCTTTCACGCGTTCGTTCGCCTGGTAATATCCAGCTATCACGTAGCTGTTCTCCTTGCACCAGGAATCAATCTGGAAAAGCAATGGCAACAATGAATCCTAGGGAAAAAAAAACCCTTCAGGATCAAGGAAAAAAAGTAAATAAAACAACCCAGGATGAAGAAAATCTCAGGGCTGTCCTGTAAATAAAGCAGTGTTGCTCCATCTCTGCCACGGGGTTCTTGAAATAAATCCATATTTCTGTCTGCTTGTGGGAGTGCTCACAGTTGGGCTGATTGAGCTGGGATGGAGAAACCCAACAGAGCATTTGGAGGATGATGGGAAGCATTAACCAAATGGAGCAAAAGAGCAAGGAGCTGTCTCAGTCAAAGCCTGGCCTAAATCCCAGTGACAGGACAATTAAACTCAGCCTGGAGAGGCTTTGGGGCTCACCCACCAAGGGCTGGGACAATTTTCTGTCAGTGCTCACCTGCCAAGGCACTTCAGGGAATGCTGCCCTGTCCTTGCAGAAAGGTTTTATTTCTAATGTCCCATTTCTGGGGGATAATGCCACCATTTGGGGCCTTTATTAGAAAATCAAAGCTGGAGGTGAAAGGTGAATGTGAGGCAGAAGTTTGTCCCATTTAGCAGCTTTTCAAATGAAATAAAATTGTTTTCTGTTGAGAGTTCTCCCTTATTTAACATTTCTACGTAAATGCTTAACCAGATGTACTTCTGGCATGTAATTTAGACAAATTTTGATTTGTACTTAGGTAGTTTTGTTGGTTCTTGCTTTTTAATTAAATGGGTTTAAACACTGCTGTTCTTGCTGCTTTAAACTGGAGCTGAATTCCTCCTGCTGAGTCTGACTTTGAAAATATCTATATATATATATATACATGGTATCTATATATATATATGATGCTTTTTATTAGAATTGAGGGTATCAAGTCAGCAAAATACAAAGACAGAAGGGGAGGAAGCAGCTCGAATTTTCCTTTGCAGTCCCTAGAGAGCACGGCCTCAAAAAACCCTCCCCAGCTCTATTAAAAAGGCCTCCAAAAATACATCTGGTGCTGACCTGTGGCATCCTGGGAGTCAAATCAATCTCATTTTCAGCAATAATTATTGTATTAGACTGCAGAACCAACCAAACAAAGCAGCCATGTGAATAATCCAAGGGATGACACGGATTTAAGTGATAAAAAAAAAAAAAGCTGTGCAGCCCTGCAAGAGCTGCTGTTTCAATTCCAAACCCATTTTGAGGGCTTAGGACTCTGGTTTTAATTGTTAGTGGTTTGAAAGCTTGGCATTAGAGCCAGCAGACCAGGCAGTAAAATTAATAATAATTATTAAAAAAAAAAAACCCAACTCCATCTATTTAAAAATTAAAAACCGCAGTCCTAAATCCGTTTTTGCTCCCTACCAAAAATCGTCTTGAAAAGAAAGAAGAGAATGATTTTAAGTTCTCACTTTCCTAACTGGTAATTAAAAATTGCTTCTGCATAAAACAAAGGGGGGAGAAAAAAAATCTCATTTTGGAATGAAAGCTGTTTCCAGCTGTAATTTCCAAGCCCAGCACTGTTCCCACAGGTATCCTACAGCAATTAGCTCCTGTTAGAAAAATTAGAAATACTTTTAGTGTTAAAAATATTTTTAATGGTAGAAATATTTTCAATGTTAGAAATATTTTTAGTACTAGGAATATTTTCAATGTTGGAAATATTTTTAATGTTATAAATATTTTAATGGTAGAAATATTTTTAATGGTAGAGATATTTTTAATGGCAGAAATATTTTCAATATTAGAAATATTTTTGGTCACATCCAGTCTTGCCAAGGAAAAATCCAAAGTGGCTTTGGTTTGCTGCAGCCACCAGGGCTGGAAAACGCTGGGAGGAGGAGGAGGAGGAGGAAAAGGAGGAGGAGGAAGATGAGGAGGAGGAGCTGAGTGCCGCTCCAGGAGAGGGAAGTGCTCCTCGGTTTCTCCTTTTTGGAGCTGTGGTTGTAAAACCGCATCAATTAGCAGAGAAATTCAGAGGCTCGAGTGCAACTTAATTCACTTTTTCTTCACGCCCCTGGCTTGGGAAAGGATCTCAGAGTGCAAATGAAACACAGGAGCTGCTCCCTCTGGAGCTCCCAGTCTCGGAAAATCAGAGGATCCTGGAATGTGCTGGGAGGACCCTTAAGGATCATCAATCCAACACCCCAAAATCCCTCCCCGTGATGTCCAAACACTCCTGGAGCTCTGGGACCTCGGGAATGTGAACATTCCCTGGGGAATTCAGTGCCCAAGCACCCTCTGGAGGTGCTGTTTGGGGTTTTTGCATTCCTTGGACCCCCTGAAAGTTTTAGGAGGCAAAGCCTTGAAGTTTGGAAGTCCCTCCTCTATTTTCTGTATTTTTGCTCCCATCCCATTCTGGGATGACTCAAGGCAGGGAAGAGGAGGTGGAACTTGTGGGGTTGGTTGTAAAACCCCTCCCACAGAGCCACCCTCCACCAAGAATCAGCAATAATTGAGCCTGGAAAGAAGCAGATCCCACTAAATCCTGCCACAGCTCTGAAATCCTTTAGGAGTGAAGCTGCTTTGCTACAAAAATGGAGTTTAAGCACTCTGATCTCCCTGATTTATTCTGGATCCAAAGGCAAGCTCATACAGAAGATGTGGAATCACCTCCTTCCAACCTTTTCCATGAGAAAATCCAATTTTCACAGCTGCTCTGACAGAATTACTGACACCTTTGCCTTTGTTTAAACCCAGAACAGCAGCAAAAGGCCCTGGGCTCTTGTAAAATTCTGGTTTTTAAAGGATCACAGCAGTGGCTGTGAACCACATAGAGCCCTAATTATTGTGGGAAACACCAGGAGTTTCCAATCTTTACCTTTCTGTACCAAAAACTGGGAGTAAGTCAAATCCTGCCATTGCTTTGGCTCTGGGATAATTTTCTTCCTGCAGATGTTGCAAGAAACAGGATTTGTTTCCTAATAATCTGATCCTGCTGCAAGATCTATACTAAAAAGCTGCAATGAAAGCCTAGAGTTTACCAAATTCAGTGCCACAAACCCTGTGGAAAGACATTTAATCCTGATTTAATGAAAACACACAGTGCTCTGCTACTCCCACACTGATGTAAATATATTTAAAATGATAATTTTGGGTGTTTAATGGTAAAACTAACTGGTCGGGGCTCAGGCTCAGTTCCTGTCCTGTGCCTCTGGCTGCATTTCATCATTTCCAGGCTCCACAAAGATGTCAACATTGCCACGGCATCATCTCAGCTGCAGGGACAGGAGTTACTGGAATTTGTTTCCAAATGAAATCTTTACTGGGATGAAAAACACTGAGGGAAACATTAAAGATGACTCTGGAGGAGCCAGAAATTTCTTCTTTTTAATGGCATAAAGAAGGGATGGATCTTTTTTTGCTCACAATCATGGGATGGTTTAGGTTGGAGGGGCTCATCCTATTCCACCTTCCACTGTCCCAGGGTGCTCCGAGCCCTGTCCAGCCTGGCCTTGGGCACTGCCTGGGATCCAGGGGCAGCCCCAGCTGCTCTGGGCACCTGTGCCAGGGCCTGCCCACCCTCACAGGGAACAATTCCTGCCCAAAATCCCACCTAAATCCACTCTCTGGCAGTGGGAGCCATTCCCTGTGTCCTGTCCCCCCACCCCTTGTCCCCAGTCCCTCTCCAGCTCTCCTGGAGCCCCTTTAGGGGGGGATCCTTCTCCTCTCCATCACAGCACCCCCAGCTCTCCCACCACAATTCCCCCAATTTTTGCACCATTCCCCCCCTCCCTGCTCTGCACCCCCAGCACCCCCCAAACCCCTTCCAGCACCCCATCCCACACCCCACACCCCTGCAGGATCACCTCACCAGGGTCAGGGCCACCTCCAGCATGGGGGCGAGCGCCAGCGTGCCGTGGAAGAGCGGGATGCAATCCACGAACAGCGCGGGCTGCGCCGGCCGCGGCGCCGGCGGCCGCTCGGCCACCAGCAGCCCGTTGACGGCGCAGTGCGGGTACTTGGCGCCGTGCAGCACCATCTTGCAGTAAGCCTGGGTGGTCAGCTTCATGGTGCCGAGCCCCGGCCCCGGTGCGGCCCGGTGCGGCCCGGTGCGGCCCCGCTCCCCGCCCTGCGTCGCGCCCCGTCCGCCGCACAGCGCCGCCGGCTGTCGGCAAGCGCCGCCAAGCGCGGCCGGCTTTGCGACAGCGATTTTGGGGGATTTCGGGGGGATTTAGGGGAATTTGGGGGAATTTGGGGTGTGGGGAGGGTGCTGAAAATGCGGGAGGGTCCCAAAAGTTTGTGGGATGGGGGGTGTGGGGTGAGCGGAGTGAGGGGCGGCGGAGAGCGGGGAGGGATGGGGGAGAGCGGTGCCCGCGGTGCCGCGGGACAGCTCTGGGATCCTCGTGGGGTGGAAATGATCTCTGGGATCATCGTGCGGGAAAAGATCTCTGGAAAATGATCTCTGGGATCATCGTGTGGGAAAAACGTCTGGGAAAAGATCTCTGGGATCATCGTGTGGGAAAAGATCTCTGGGAAATGATCTCTGGGATCATCGTGTGGGAAAAACCTCTGGGAAATGATCTCTGGGATCATCGTGTGGGAAAAGATCTCTGGGAAAAGATTTCTGGGATCATTGTGTGGGAAAAACCTCTGGGAAAAGATCTCTGGCATCATCGTGTGGGAAAAACCTCTGGGAAAAGATCTCTGGGATCATCGTGTGGGAAAAGATCTCTGGGAAAAGATCTCTGGGATCATTGTGTGGGAGAAACCTCTGGGATCATCGGATTGGAAAAGATCTCTGGGATCAATGGGTGGGAAAAACCTCTGGGAAAAGATGTCTGGGATCATTGGATGGTGGGAAAAGATCTCTGGGATGATCGGGTTGGAAAAGATCTCTGGGAAAAACCTGTGACATCATCATGTGGGAAAAGATCTCTGGGACTGTTGAGTTGGAAAGGATCTCCAGGATGATCCAGTCTAGCCTGTGGCCCATCACCATAAATCACAGATGGTTTGGGTTGGAAGGGCCTTAAAGATCCTCCATTCCCACCCCTGACACCTTTCCCTGTCCCAGGCTGTTCCAAGCCTGGTCTTGGGAACTTCCAGGGATGGGGTATCCCAAATAATAAAGGAAATCCCAAATAATTAAGGAAAAGGGGTTTCTATAAAAAAATTACTTCAGTGATGCCTTGGCCATGTTTGTCCCTGGCTGGCACACGAAATCCCCCTCGGTGCTTTTCCATCCTGGGCTCCAAACCTTGAACCCTGTGCCAAATTCTGGTCTCCTCACAGGACCTTGAGAGGCTGGAGCGTGTCCAGGGAAGGGAACGGAGCTGGGAAAGGGCTGGAGAATCCTGAGGGAGCTGGGAAAGGAATGGAGAATCCCTGAGGGAGCTGGGAAAGGGAATGGAGAATCCTGAGGGAGCTGGGAAGGGAATGGAGGATCCTGAGGGAGCTGAGGAGGCTCAGCCTGGAGCAAAGGAGGCTCAGGGGAGCCCTCCTGGCTCTGCACAGCTCCTGCCAGGAGGGGACAGGGACAGGAGCAGAGGGAACGGCCTCAGGCTGGGCCAGGGCAGGCTCAGGTCGGACATCAGCAGGAATTTCCCCATGGAAAGGGGGGTCAGGGATGGGAACTGCCCAGGGAGGGTTGCAGTGCCCATCCCTGGAGGTGTCCCAGCAATTCCTGAGGTGGCACTCGGTGCTCTGGGCTGGGGACAAGGTGGGGATGGGGCACAGCTGGGCTCAATGATGCTGGATGTGAAAAATGCATATTTTATGATTGGCTTTTCACAAATATGAAAATGAATATTATATGTGTTGTGTTAGAAAGTAATGCTGTATTAATTCTCTTAAGTAGTGTGTTAAATATAGTTTTATGTTATAAAAAAATGTTAAACTAGAAACCGTGCTATGTAGGATACTATTTTTACAGAAAGGACTCCCAGCGAGATAGCAGCCACAGGACACCTGAATCTTTCAGAGAAAAAGGATTTATTGCCCTCTTATCAGAAGAAACGAACTTCTTCCCTCCTCGAAGGTGCTGTTAGGATTCAGAGGAAGAAGTTGACGATGACCAGACAGAATCCTGTGTTTGAATGGAATTTATGCATCATGTTTGCGCTGTATGAATATGCAACAGGCTATTGCTTTTAAGGGTTAATCCTTTGTTAACGAGTGTCCTTTTTCGGGCTTATGCTGTCCAGAAAAAAGTACCCGGACTGTCCATAACTTTTTGTATTTATTGTCTCATATTGTCCTAATTCAATTTGTCCAAATTATTATTACTCTGACTATATTACTATTTTTATAACCATTTTATTACTATTAAACTTTTAAAAATTTAAAAACAAGTGATTGGCGTGTTTCACACCCACCCTCAGACATCCTCCCCCTGGGATTTTGGGAATCCGGGATAAACCTCCAGCGGCGGTCCGCCCGCATCCCATCAGCCCCCGCGCGGGGCCGCTCCGGCCCGGCCCGCTCGCTGCCCCGCGCTCCCGGCGTGCCCCGCGCTTCCGGCCGCGGCTCCTTCCGGTCCCGCCAGCCGTAGAGGACGGTCGCCAGGTCGTGGGGCCGGGCCGGGCCGGGCGGAGCGCGGGGACGGGCGGGGAGCGGGCTGGGAGCGAGAACGGAGCTCTCCCCGCCATCCCTATCCACGGCCGGGCTGGCGGGGCAGCGCGGGTTGGGGGTTGCGGGGAGGGCTGTGAGGGGGCAGCGCTGCGGCCCCTCCCGCCGGGTCCGTGAGGGGTTCTGACACCGGTGTCGCGACGTGTCGGGCGGGAGAGAGGTGACAGGCAGGGAGGGCAAGGTCAGGGCAGACACCGGCTCCGGGTGGGAGCTTGGGCGGCTTTGGGCTGGGCTGGGGTCAGCGGAGGATCCGGAATCCCGTGTGGGTGCGAATCCCTTGTGGGGATCCCGCCCTTCCCTGGGATGCTCCCTGCGCAGGGGTCTCTGCAGTGGCTCTGGGATGTGCTTGAGGCGCCAGGAATGGTTTAGTTTGGAATTACAGCGTCCTAGAAGGGCGGTTTAAATATGGCAATGTCCTTTGCTTCCAGTGCAGGAGGCTCGGGTTAAAAACAGGGAGAGAAAGGCTCATCCAGATCGGTTTAGTGGGAGAATATCCCACTAAATCTCCTCTCCAGCATGGAGTGGTATGCTGCCCTCTGGAGAAGGAGCAGGAAATCTTTAGACTATAAATATTTATATATATATATATAAACTCGTGGGAAATGTTCTATGTCACCGTGGGCACTGACTGTTGCTGCCTGCCCCTGCAGGATGTTGGCTTCCAGAGTGTTCAGCCTGGTCGGGAGGAGATCCATCTCCACCTCCCTGTGCCTCAGGGCACATGGACACGGTGGGTCAGGGGGGAATAAAGCACAACCTGAGGGGGGGAAGCACAGAAATCTGCCCTGGGTGAGGGGAGGGTGGGGATGGAGAGAGCCTGGGGAGGTGGCAGGAGTGACAATCATGGCATCATCCAGGTGGGAGAAACCTGCAAGGTCACTGAGTCCCAGCTGTGCCCCATGCCCACCTTGTCCCCAGCCCAGAGCACCGAGTGCCACCTCAGGAATTGCTGGGACACCCCCAGGGATGGGCACTGCAACCCTCCCTGGGCAGTTCCCATCCCTGACCCCCCTTTCCATGGGGAAATTCCTGCTGATGTCCGACCAGAGCCTGCCCTGGCCCAGCCTGAGGCCGTTCCCTCTGCTCCTGTCCCTGTTCCCTGGCAGGAGCTGTGCAGAGCCAGGAGGGCCCCCTGAGCCTCCTTTCCTTCCCTCAGCTCCCCCAGGATCCCTGGCAGTGCCCAAGGCCAGGCTTGGAGTCCTGGGACAGTGGGAGCTGTCCCTGCCCATGGCAGGGCCTGCAGTGGGATGGGCTTTAGGACCCTTCCCAGTCCATCCCAGCCCCTCCTGTAATTCCATGTCTGTGCTGGTAGAACATAAAAGTTCTCAGGTTCAGCGTTGCTCCTGAGCCCTTGCACCTCCTCCCTGCACTGCTGCACTTGTGCACTGCTGGGCTGTGACCTGGGACCAGTCAGAGCTGCTTGTGACCAATGACCCTGTGTGTGTCCCTGTGTCCCCATGTGTGTGTGTGTGTCTCCATGCGTGTCCCTATGTCCCTGTGTCCCCCTGGGTGTCCTCGTGTGTGTCCCTGTGTGTGTGTGTGTGTGTGTGTGTGTGTGTCCCTGTGTGTCAACCATGTCCCTGTGTGTGTCCCCCTGTGTTTCCCTGTGTCCCCATGTGTGTCCCCATGTCTCTGTGTCCCTGTGTGTGTTACCCATGTGTGGCCCTGTGTGTGTCCCTGTGTGTGTCCTTATGTCCCCATGGGTGTTCCCATGTCCCTGTGTGTGTCACCCATGTCCCCCTGTGTGTCCCTGTGTGCGTCACCCATATCCCTGTGTGTGTCCCTGTGTGTGTGTCACCCATGTCCCCATGTGTGTCCCTATGTGTGCCCCTGTGTGTGTCACCCATGTCCCCGTGCGTGTCCCCGTGTCCCCGTGCGTGTCCCTGTCCCCGCAGGCGTGGTCAAGGCAGAGGATTACACCCTTCCCGTGTACGTGGACCGCCGGGACGTGCCCCTGCCCGAGGTGGCCTTTGTGCGGGACCTGTCAGCGCAGCAGCGCGCGCTCAAGGAGAAGGAGAAGGCGTCCTGGAGCGCCCTGTCTGCCGAGGAGAAGGTGGAATGTAGGTGTGGGGGCTCTGAGGGACCTCCAGGCAGCCACGGCACAGCTCCCATCTCTGAGCATGCCGTGGGTTGGGTGGGGAGGGAGCTTGAGGATCAGCTCCTTCCAGGACCAGAGAAGCTGAAGAAATGGGCCAGTGGGGATCTCCTGGAGTTCAGGAAAGGAAAATGCCAAAATGCTTACAGAAAGGAGTAACTCCATGTGCCAGTACAGACTGGGAAATGGAGTTACTGCTGGGAAAGCAGCTTGGAGGGAAAAGACAGGGGGATCCTGGTGATCGTATCAAACTTGCAGATGATGATTCTTTCATTTTACCTTGACCACTTTTTAACCAAAATCTGAACAGAATTTTGAATAGAAATATGTTATTCTATGTATTATGAATATTACTATTCTATTATTAATATATTCTATTCTTACGCTCCAAGCCCTGTCCAGC